CTGTACATTGATGTGAATATTTTGCATATCATGCTACATGACATAAATTAAAAGGGGAAAGGCAGACTGGCGATAATTTGAATAGCATGAGAAAACAAGACAATCCTATTCTGAGTGCAAATTTAGTCTGGAACAAACTGTTCATCCGCCCCCTTGTTCATTTATGTGAGATGGGACAAGCGTCTTACACAGTTTTTTTCTTTTGACTTATTTCATTTTCCCCATTTAATGGTATTTTTCTGGGTTTTGGGATTAATTTCCTGAGAGCCTCTTTTTTTTTTTAATGCTGCTACCTTGCCCCCAATTTCATTTTCAGTTGAGGTTTCTTTCACAATGCCTTTGAGAAACAGGACAGAAGTAAGGGTCAAACAAGCCCATTCCAGAAATATTTAGTAATGCTATTCTCATCAATAGTAGTAGAGTAATTGTAGTGTGAAATGTTATTTTAAAATAGACATTCCTGGTATTATCCTGAGTATTTCTCTGATATTTGAGTTAAATTATAAGTGGCTCAGAAAGGGAGCTTTGTGTGCTTCTAAATTGTTCATGGGCTCCCTTGTAATTTGCTATAATTAATTCAAGCATCCAAGGGCAGAAGGAAGGACTGGGTTGAAACTCATCTTTCTTTTAGCTGCAAAACTATTATGCTTTTCAAAAATTCTACATGTTACCTTTAGACTTTTTAATCAATGCCTTTTTTATTCCAGAGGAAGGTACAATTATACTGTATTCCAGAGGAAGGTACAATTCATACTGTTATACCAATGGGAATGAATACTTTTTTAAAAGAAGCCCTAACTTTATTAGCTAGAGCAGGGGTCTCCAACCTTGGCAACTTTAAGCCTGGTGAACTTCAACTCACAGAATTCCCCAGCTAGAGTTGAAGTCCACCAGGTTTAAAGTTGCCAAGGTTGGAGGCCCCTGAGCTAGAGGACTAGGCTTTAGGGCAAATAGCCTCTGGATAACATTCTCTCCCTTGTGTCCCAGTCTGAATGGCTATTTTTGTTGGCAAAGTCTCCTGAAATAGAGGAGGTACTAGGACTCTTTTGAGAAGCAGCTTAAATTCAGCCCTTGAGTGGGCTGGTCTGATATTTTTAGGCATTTTTTTTTCTTTTAGTTTTAGAGATTTAAGAGGCAGCATGGAATCCTTAAACTTTGAAGAAGCTTTACAAAGCACTTTTTCCCCCAAATGTTTTCCTTGCTATGAAAGCAAGCAACTTAGACTTATATACTGCCCCATAGAATTCTAGGGCCTCACAGTCAAAGCAAGTGGAGAACAAGGCGAAGCTCTTGTGCGTAGGAGCAGTTCAGTGCAAGGGAGCCAGAAGAGATGAATAATAATAACGTGGTTGGGCAGTCAGAAGATTTTTATTCAGAACCAAAAAATCATAACTTACTATGCAACATCCATCTATTTAAAAGGGAAGATGCTGATGAGGGTAGGTTTGCATGACATGCTTGCCTGTGTTTAAGGGAAGCATAATATACTGAATTAACCTAATCATCTCAGTTCACAAAACAGATAGAACCAAAATGTAACCATGGTAAACTAGGCTTGCTCAAGATGATGGGCCAAAACAAGGTCAGCTACTTTGTGTTTCAGAGCATTGCGTGAAGCCAGCCTCTGACATGGAGTGCCAATAAGAAGCTGAATAAACTGGAGCTCAAAAGGAATGATCTTCTGGAATTATGAGAAATCTAATTCTCTTCTCTTCAGTGTCTAATGACAGTAGAAACTAGATGGATCAGGTAGGGAGATTACAGTTTTCAGGAGTTAAGTAAGCAGAGCAGTGCTCCTTTCCATAGGCATCCATGGTAAGAGTGAGAGGGAATTGATGGCATGATATTATTATGATTCAGAGATATTTTCTTACCTAAACAGAGAATGACAGCTGGCGGGCAAAAAAAATAGTGGGAGTAGTTACAACTTCCCCATTGAGTTTGATCAACAGTTCACAGGTTATATTTACTGTACAGTATGCAGATAACTGCGAGAAGCTGGATACACTTAATTATTTGCTTCAATAATTGCTGCCAAAAAGGTCATAAAATTGGGTGCAATACACTTAATGACTGCATCGCTTGGCAATGAAAGTTGTGATCACAAATTTGGTTGTAAATCGAAGATTATCTGAGTAGGAGTGAAAAATCTCACTGGAGTTCTGATCCTGGCTTGGTTCAGCTTGGAGGCACCAAATTACCTCAGATAAACGGTTTGCCACCTTCTGCCTCTCTTGTTACAGTCCTGTCATTTGACTGTAAATACAGTGATATGCATCTGATAATGCATAAGTTTACAACTTGTGTTGTCTGCTGAAGGAAAATAGCCATCTTGTAATTATGCCTTTGTTTAGACTTGTTTTCCACTCTTTCATGCTTCCCATGAAATGAGACTGGCAATCTGTGTTCGTATTAATTGATAAGAAAACCATGTATATTCTACAAAAAAAAAAAAAAAGGAATACAACCAAAGAATCTCCATGTAACTTGTGAAATAGAGAAGATAGAGTTCTGGACTTGGGTTTGAATCGCCGCTGACTGCAAAGCTTTGCCTTGAATTGGTTCTTTTTTCTTATTCCATCTAGGATGCCGTGACCCTAAAAACACACGACCAACTCGTATAATTCAGCCAGTTAGGTTTGTAAGCCAGATTTTGTGGTTTGGCCTAGTACAGGGGTTGGCAACGTTAAACACTCAAAGAGACACAAAGGTCCTAACCAGAAGCCCCCCGTTCAATTTTGGAGCCGACCGGAAGTCCGATTCCCCCATCATAGAGTCTCCTCCTAGCACGGCATCCTTTTTCTTCTACCTGTCCTAACCGAAAGCCCTATCAATTGTGGAGCCGACCAGCGGCAAGGAGCCACAGCAGAGGGATGAAAGAGCCACATGCGGCTCCAGAGCCGTGGGTTGCTGACCCCTGGCCTAGTATACACACTGGTGTTTGATAAACCACAGTAAAACAATCTATAACTTAACATAATTTTTAAACCCAGCCCCATTCTCTCTCCCCCCCCCCCCCCCCCCCCAAAAAAAAAAAAAACCCAACAAGGGCTTGTGTCATTTGTCATACTGTCATTTGGATACTCTTCAACAGCCTTTAAAATATCTGGGAAATTCTCATTCTGTGAAAGCTCCCAGGATTTCTTTTTCAGTGAATGGTGATGGTTTGAAGCATTTCTTCGTGATAATGCCGTGACTGTTACAACCTGGAGAAGCCAGGCTTATTGGAGCTTTAGTGCTGTCTAGTGGCCGATGCTTGCCTGCCTCTGTTTCAGGGATTGTATAGCATGACTTTGGACTTTATAACAAGGAGAGCAAAGCTGTTTTTCAATAGTGTTTCTAGATACCAAATTATGCTCATCTTATAATAAGAAATTACTCTCTCAAAAAAGTGGTCAAACATTCCAGTGATCATTGCAATACATCTTTGTGTTTTATCTTGTTATGTCCACCTTAGTCATGTATATATCCGGGGCGAGGGTTTGTGGGATTGTGCTTTTGTTGTGGCAGAATACACACACACACACACACACACACACACACACACACACACACACACACAAGACCAAGACTAATTTGACTGGTATCTGAATGGTATCTTTTTCTAACGCAATATACTGTATAGTACCTAAAATTACAGTATTGAAAATATTTGACAGAGTAAAATTCTTAGAGAGGAATAACAGTTTTTTTATTACTATTATTATTTTGTCCAGAGCAATATTGAGTTTGGTTTGTATTGTTTTTGTGTTTTTATTTGTGAACTGCCCAGAATTAATTGGAGTTGGGCAGTATCTAAATTGAATCAAGTAAAATTAATTGGAGAGTATGCTTTTTTTAAAAAAAACTGAGCCTTTGGATGATATGCAAGTAATAGCACCCTAGAAAGTGGCTTTGATTAGTACAAAAACAAAATTAAAGTTTGACTCTCACATTTCTAATAATACTCCTTTTTTATCACATTAAAAATTATTTAAAATTAAATTAAGTTTTAGGGGCTCTGGGGTCCCACTAAAGTTTTGAGAATCTTCAGTTGTGAACGTCAGGTTATATCGATTAAGCCAAAAGCTTGCAAAAAAAAACCTAAGTCCCTCAACCAATTGAAAAAGTGGGTTATTTTAAAAATTACCTGATTAATTGGCAACACTTTTCTTTAAAAAGTGAAACATTTTAATTGCACCAATTGAGTTACTGATGAGTGGTATAAATTATTCATGTCAACTCAAAAATAAATCCTATTAATTTTAATGGAAGTTTCTTCTAGGCAATTTAAGTTATTCTTAAGATTGAAGGTGATAGGAAAAGGACATTTAAAAAGACATTTATGAAAAGTAATACTTTTGGTTAGAAATTGAAATTGATTAGCATACTTTATGCATGTAGAGTTTACTTTTTATAGACATTTCCATTGTTTTTTGCATATGCAAAATAAAACCTCAGTTGTGGAAGATCACAGGATCACCTTACAATATTAACAGAAATTGCAAAATTCACAAACAGTGTTGTAAAGACTGATTCTTTTTATTTCAATTATGACCAAGGACATAAGCAAGTCAATCTTCCTAACCTCTTTATAGATATTACATCGCTCATCGCTTTAATGTTTAACGGATGCTTCTCAATTAATTTGGTATCAAAATGCCCAGTTTTGCTTTTCATTTCTGATGGCACTGTCTTGACAGTGACCTCAGTAGAGAGAAGACTAAGATGATATCAAGGTACATGTTCTCCAAAGTTAAGAGATGGTATTATTCAAACCCTTTCAATACTGCCATGCAGATATGCCATTAAAAAAATAATAAATATTTGGTCAGGGTGAAATAGTCATCCTTGCCTACTTATACAAAATATAATGCCTACTTGGCTTAGTCATAAGTATCACCTTCCATATTCCTTTTACTTATACAGAACAGAACAGCCCTATCGATACTTAAAACTTATTGAGAACAAAAATTGTTCAGATACTCTCGGTTTCATTCTGTTCTGTCCCTTGTTTGCAGGTACCAGTATTATCTTCAAGTAAAGAAAGATGTTATTGATGGACGATTGCGATCTTCCTTTGAACAAGGGATAAGGTTGGCTGCATTGGCTGTTCAAGCTACATTGGCGGCTCAAGGTACAGTGAGTACATCTGCCCATTCTTTCCCGTCTTATCTACTTATTTAAGTAACAATACATTCCTGTTAAACTGGAGATGGCAACCCTCTAGGGAGAATATTGACACTGAACTGCCTATTCTTAAAAGCTTAATACTGTATAGTTTGGAAACATTAGTGGCATTAAGTGGCAATAATTCCTGAAATGAATGAGTCATTTGAATGAGCCATTTTCTCTTTTTACTGAAGTGGAAATTCTATTCTATTCTTGCAAGATACTAAGGATGAAGATCATAATTAAGATGCATTTTAGTTTGAGAACTTGTAATATCCTAACATAGCATGCAAATAATTATTTTTGTTCTAATGCCATAAGTCGGATACTCATCCAAGTTTATTAGTGAACTGCACTAGAAAAAGAATAGTGGATCAGGGTTAAAAATAAGTAGGATGTGGCTTGAATTCATGGTTCATGTCTTTTTCCTCTTTTAACTCCAGTGAGTTAAAAAGAAAGCTAGTTAGGTATCACTTTAGCTATGCTATCTTCCATTCTGCTTCTACCATTTCGTGTGTATTTTGCATGTATTCAATGAATTTCTGCAAATATAATGTGTTTAAGCAATGGATTTTACAAATGTAATATAACAAGTTTCCTACCACATTTATAAAGCTAAGGCTTGCAAGCTCCCTTCACACTTTTAGCACACTAGAGGAAGACTAATTAAAGTTACCCAAAAATATAACTTGGAAAGCTATAGATTGTTTAAACTATTATGGTTAAGGGAATAAATTAGGGAAAAGGTGATTTCTGCATCTGGTTTGTTCTCACTAACCAGAATTTAAACGAATTCATTGCTTTTAAACATTGTGGGTTATTTTCTCAAAGTCATAAATGAATATTTAGTATAAAATAGGAAAGGATGTTTGCATCTCTAAAATTAGCTACAGCTTTATCACAGATGAAATCATTGTTCCATGTATCAATTAAATGAAGTATATGTTTTCTCAAGTAGTATTTGCAAAACCTTGATTATGGATTGAAATGAAATATGTCTTTATTATCAGAATGATATGAGCATTCATAAATCCATATGCTCATATTTTTATTCTAAGCTATTTTTCTTGGCTGATACACAGAATTCCTAAAAGCTTTTCTTTAGTACTCTATCATTTTTACTGTTTGTATACATACCACCTTAGTGTATTCAACAAGTTTGTATTTATTGATTATTAAAAAATGTATATTTACAAAACAAAATAATAATGTTAAATTTTCCCTTATGGGTTTACAGGAATATTTTGTTTGGAATAATTAATAAGGGGAATTTCCAGTATTGAAAATGTTTTTGGCAGACTTTGATTCAAATAAAATAAAAAGAAAGTTCCTGGGCATTTTGCCCCTCTCTCTTAAGCATGAAAATGTTTAAAAAGAGATAAATAGTGGATCTTTCATAAAAAATGTGAAAGAATATTTTTTAGGAATATGTACTTTAAGAAATATTTTCACTCTTTTTCTGCAATTCCAAAACTTATATAAAGCAAAGGAAATATTTTATAGGAATGTCATTCTATGTTGAATGCAAGTGAAATCAATGGGAAGACTTCCACTAACATAGTGAAACCTTTACTTTTGTCCATTTTTCATCAAAAACTTCATTGGAACCATTGGAAACGTTCAAGCATGTATCCTTCCTCAAGTATACAGTGGAAATTATTTCTGTTATGGGATTACAACTGAATTTCAAACATGTCTCTACTGCTTCTGAAGAAGAATCCAGCACTGTTAAAGTATAAAATAGGGAAAGGAAGGAATTCAAATATAAATTTTTGCCTCCCCATCCATTTGAAAGATCTAAATCCCCTTCAAGAAAATGTGAATACAAGTCCCATGATCTCATGGCTGTACTTTTTAGATGAGACAAACAGTTTTGTGTCTTCATAGTCAGGGATTTCAGCCTAAATATTGAATAACCCTGCTTCCTCCAGGTTAAGCCATTGAAGAACCTTTTAGGAAAGAGTTCATATGCAATAAAAGCTGAAGCAATTTACTTCTCATTCCTCTTTCTTTTTCCCATCCAGTTGGCTTTGGAGATTACCCTCATTTTGAATCTCATGATCTCCGGCAGTATGTTTTGTTTCCTATGGTGAGTTAACTCCCCATCTTCCCACCATCCCCTCTTCATATATTTATTTATTGAATTTGTATTCCACTGCAGTCAAAAGAGATGATTCTTTACTGATAAATTGGCAATTCTCATGTATGGATTAAAAATACTATCAAGTATCCACAGCAAAAAAAATATTTATTTATTTATTTATTTATTTATTTATTTATTTATTTATTTTTTATTTTAATAAAATCACACCATTACTCAATCGGATGGTTTAACTAATGCCTCCAAGGCTGTCCGAGTATTTCCCCTTTTTAATAAATTATAGAAAACGGGGGCAGATCAGATTTCTGAAGGAAAGCTATTCTGGAATGTAGACACTCCCATAGAGAAGGCATGATTGTGACCGTCCACCCCACCTTATCGCTTGAAAGACGGGGATCAAGAACAGTTTTTTCTGAGGTACTTAAGCCAAGTGGGTCAAAAGTGGGTGGAAATGGTAAAAATTTTAGTCCCAAGTCATCCCTTTTGATTTCAAGGATAATTTCATAAGCATTTATCCTTCCACTTGTCCTGCTTTTATGATATGGTTTTAGTAATGCCTCCACCAAAAATTATTTGATATTTACTTTACATAGTTACTTTAATCTCTTTTGGAAAAAGTTATGCTATATAAAATGTTTTAAAAATAAAATATTATAATATTGGTACAATGTGTAACAGAGATTAGAAATGATATTAAACTTAAATGTGGTGCATATGAAGGCACCATATTTTAACATTGGGGAGCCAGTGTAGTCCAGTAATGAAGTTGTTGAAAACCAGCCATATCTGTGTCAACTTGTTGAGTGAGGTTTATAATCACCGGAAGGAGAAGGAGGAATTATGAATGCTTACTTGAGGTCCTGAAAGAAAGGTGGATTATAAACTGAGAGTTAATGTGATATAGTGGTTAAAGTGTTGGATTAATATTGGGGAGACTCAGATTATAATCTACCGTTATTCAGTTCACTTGGTGACTCTGAGCCTGCCTATTTTAAAAAGCATTTGTAATAGGCCTATTGAATGCCACTTTATGCTCTTAACATGTTTAATAGCTTCCCTGATTTGTGTCAAATCAGGAATGCTAAGTTTGCAATACTTGAAATTCTCCCTGCATGTCTACGGATGTTCATTTTTTAAAAACAAGCAATCGTGGCAACAGGGAATTTTCTGTTGTGGTTTGTAGCTGTGTTTCCAAAATCATGGCTGGAAATGGAAAGGCAGTCCTCTTCGCTTTGAGTACTGATTTCTCTTTGCCAAAATTATTCCTATTTCCATGTAAACAATTTCAAAAGAAAAAAAAATGCATAACTGTATACTTTGCTATAAGCAATAATGTGTATCTAGCGATCAAGACATAGTGAAAATGAGTATGTATAACCTGCCTGAAAAAAACTGCATGGAAATTACAATGTACATTTACATGGATATGGACTATATATCAATATCATCCATATCCAATATAGTTGCTTTATCAAAACTTGGCCCATTTTTCTCTACAGTAAAACAAAATGAAACAAAAAAAGGTACAAAAATATTTCCCATGCCCCAGGCTGACAAAGTTACCTACCTCTTAGCAGCTTTCAGTAATTTCAAGTCAATCATTTACACCAATGATAATAAACAGTCCTTCTTTGAAATGTAGAACTCCCCATACAAAGGATCGTAAGAAATGAAGAATAAGGGTGGGTAAACATTCTTTTGGAAGGAATGTACCATTTTCTTTAAGATACTAATTATATAATTTGTTGAAACCTCTATGTCCACCTCCAGAGAAGGTCAGGAGAATATGGAACATACTTTGTAGAATGATTGTGATTCTGTTAAAAAGAAAAAGTGATTTGCTTGTCATGCAGTGGATGGGTGCCCAGACTTGAATATTAACCTTTAATAGGTGTCTATACTCTGAAACAGATAGTGGATGTAATCACTCTATCATATCTAGTATTTGAAGTAAATCTCTCATTGTCAGCAAACTCCTGGATAACTCTTGAAGTTAAGATGATGCTGTTTTTACATGCTGACAATTAATTAATCAAGTAGCTAATCCAGTCTGCTCTAAGAAGTAGCTTTAGCTAGCCTTGTTCTTTAGCAACAATTGCCCGCTGTAGTAAATTAAATATAAGGACTATTTTAGTTAATTAATAGCAAGCCTGTTGAGTGGGCACCGTGGGATTGAATACAACTTGCATTGTATTTTGCACTTCTGTTTTATTTTATCTTGTACTGCTTCAGAATGTGTGAAACAACATTTCTTCAGCAGTGAAAAGAACAAAGTTATGTACACAGAACAGCTCACAGGTGTGTAGCTATGTACAGGCACGTACAGTGCCATTTTTCATTCGCACTGTTTTACATTTTTCAGTGTCAGGAACAAATATTATGGGGAGGCCCCAGTGAACAAGAAGTTAGGCATTTTGATTTAAGTATAAACACCTGTGGAGCATTCCATCCACAATAATTAGAAAGGAAAGGAAAGAGAGAAAGAGAGAGGAAAGAAAGAAAGAAAGAAAGAAAGAAAGAAAGAAAGAAAGAAAGAAAGAAAGAAGAAAGAAAGAAAAAAGAAAGAAAGAAAGAAAGAAAGAAAGAAAGAAAATAGATGTGTCTGTTTCATTTGTATTATTCATTGTACCCAGCGTTTTTACATATGGCACATAAAGACCATGTTTAAAGCTAAAGGTATGATTCTTGGTAATGGTTATTATAGGTATGACACCCTATGGTTAGTAAGTAATATAGGTATGATATCTTCCAAATAATATAGATTGCAGTACTTTTTGTCATATAATACATGGCCAGCAATTAAAAAAAGATCTTCCACGTTCTTTTTTTCCCCACGTTGGAAGTTCTAGTCAGTTCACTATTAATAAACTGTTATAATTTTTTGTGCTTTTTTACTGTAGGATATATTTAGTTTTAGAAATAAATTATCATGCTGAGGAGCATTTTTATAACCTAGCAAGTGAGAACAATTGCCAGGTTCTAGTCCTTCACCTCTCTAAGTACAGCTGAGAAAGACCAGATCGGGTAATCCGGTCCGAACCGAAAGGTCTGCTCTGCTCCCTTATGAGATCTATGGAGATTCTCAGTCATCCAGGTCATGGTTGTCCCAAAGGTGCTTTTTTTCAAGAGGCAACTGGACTTTCTGGTTTTTCTTTTAAGATGTTTCGCTTCTCATCCAAGAAGCTTCTTCAGCTCTGAAGAGCTGAATATAGTGTGTGTTGTTAACCTCCCCTTTGTACATCCTGTACTCTTTTAGTGATTCAGTTTGTTTTTGTTGGTAACTGTTATTTTCTTGATATTTTAACTCCATTTAGAATTGCTGTATGATTAAGGGGAGCATGCAAATTGTCTAAATACATAAATAAAAGCAAATTAAAGGCATTGATTCCTTGGATTCCTTTATTCATAATAAACCCAGTTCTTTGTTATCAATTTATTTTTCAGGATTTGATTCAAAATGAAGCCATTTTGGAAGAATTGATTCAGAAGGTAGTCCAGGAACACAAAAATCATAGGTTTGGTTCTCAAATTATTAATATTGCATTGCTGTCAATATAAATTACTATTCAGCCAATAGGCTATTTCTTAAAATTAGCTATTTTTCTAACTTATGCGGTAACTTTATGTGGAATGGAACTTCATGTCTCAGGAAAAGAATGTCTGTTCCCATGTCAGTCATGATAGTTAATTGAGACTTGTAAAAGATTAAGGGAAGAAACAATGAGGGCACAGAGTTTGTCTGATGCTCTTCTTGCAAGATTTTTCAAAGTTATTTGGCCACTATGGGGCAAACTATTAATTTTGCTGTGATATGAGGCCACTGTTTTGCCTGAACATTTCTGATTTTTATTAATTTTCATGCAAATTACTGATTATAAGAGAAGTATTGTATAATTGATAAGGTGTTAGAGTAAAGTGGTAGACTGCCTAAAGCTATTTGCTGAATGAGTGGCAGATAGTACACTGAAATACCCATTTAGCTTAATCAGATATAGAAGTTAACTCAATGACATCTAGAAACTAGGTGTATTATAAGGGTGCATTTGCGCCCTTATAATATTTCCTTTGATTTTGTTCAGATTTAGCGTGTGTTTACAATATTTGGATAAACTGATGGACAGAAGACATATGGATACTGTTATTATCCAGTACAATTTGATAAATGTTGTGTTGTCCCCAGTAGCTGCTATCTGTTTTTAATTCTTTTTTTTTATATTATAAGACGGCTTTTTTTACAAATGTTAGCCGTCCAGAATCACCCTTGTGAGATGAGCAGCAATGTAAATTGATTAAGAAAATTAATTCAAAGCAAAGAGGGTGTTAAAATCTTTGGCCTTTTCAATAATCCTGTGTGATATTTCTGTTAATTTTATTTGCAGCAGCCTTTCTGCAGCAGAAGCAGAATTGCTTTACATCAGGGAAGTGGAACGACTAGATGGATTTGGGCAGGAAAGTTTTCCTGTGAAGGTAAGGGTATAGTGCTTATACTATATTGGTGAAGTAAAAACATCTGAATAGATAAATGTTATTGGAGGAGGAAGAAGAGATAAAAAGCTTTTATCTGTTTATCCTGCTGCAGCCAGTCTCAGCTATTACCTTTGAGAATTAATACATTGTTGTGATTAAGGTACCAGACTTTGTCTAGGGAAATTCAGATTGAAATCATATTTCAGTGATGGAGCTGTGCACATGAGAGAAGAGTGCCTGTCACTCATGCAAATCAATCTGTACGCGCACTCGCCCGCCGCTTACACGGCCCAGTTCCAAAAGGGCCGTGGCCCAGTACCAGACCACAGCCCGGGGTTGGGAACCCTGTGTTAAGAGGCCTGTGTGGTCTCTCTGAAGTAGCTCTCAATCACACTAGGCTTTCTTTCCTGAAGTATCTTGGAGCCAGTTCTCATGGGCCTTCAGCTTGGAGAATGGTGCAAGTCACATTTCTGAATGGCAGTTGCGGTGTTAGGGTTGATGTATTATAGAGGCTGGGGCAGTGGCAGTTGGCTGAGACTCCTGAAGCTTTGGGCCTCTACTTCAAGACAGGCCTGACACTACAGCCTATTGCCACTGTGTGTGTGCATGTGTGTGTGAGAGAGAGATAAGCAGAACATAGGCTGGTGTTGGCGGAACTTGCAGCTCCCTTCTAATCATAAGGACAGACACACTGCCAAGGAATCACATTCGTGACCATCAGAGTACTGCAATGGCTCTAACTATGGGCATGGTTTATAAGTCCATTTTGTCAGCATTGTAATTTTGAACTGTCGCTGAATGAATGGACAAAGAGACCAAAAAGAGTTTACTGGATTTTCCAAATTACTAAAGACCCTTACAGAAATATGCCTATAAATGCCACTAAGATGGAGTTACGGCATTCTTTGTACAGCAAAAGAAAAGCTGTTTCATCTACAAGGTAGTAATTTGAACTCCAGATCACATGTCAGATCTGGTTTATAAACACAGCATCACAAAGTGTTAAATGGTGGAGTGTAGAATGAGTTGTACCTCTTTAGACCTACATGGGGGAAGGTCTAAAATTTGTTTCACATTTAAAGCCAGATGCCAGAAAGTCTTCTATACTTTGACTCATTAAAGAAAAAAGGGAACTTGGCTATCCTAATCTTCACAAACAGAAAACCAGCAACATTTTAAACTTTTCTTCCTGTCTATTTTCAGCCTTGATTTTAGCTCATCATTTTGGCCCTTTTTGAAAAACAATCAAACAAAGGATTGTTCAAAATATTTACAGTTGCAGTACTTTCATTGCATTCTTCTGCAGTTGTAAACTGAGCCAGTCCGATGCTCTTGCCTGCTTTTTGTTACATTTCATATAATGCCATTTTATACTGAGTCAGTCAACTGATCTATCTGTATTAGAATGACCCTCTACAAGTGACCTTACCAGTCCAGATTTGTTTCCCCTGTTGTTCTTTTGATTTTTGCTGACTGGTCATGGTACATCATTCGTTTGAGGATATCAGGACACATGTGAAATCTCCAGCCCTCTTTTGCTTCTTGCTTTAGACCCCTCTCCCCCATGGATTGAGGCCTTGTGCCTGGAACCTCAAAATACAAAACTCTGCACTGACCTACAATCTCTCCATTACAACTGCACATTCCCAAACCTCTTTCAATTGCACAGAATAAAAGACCTGGTGTGTGTGTGTGTAAAATAAAATTAACATTCTTGCATGTTTTTTTTAAAATTCAATCAGTATTTTCCCTTTGTACTTTTTTCCTGTAATCTTCTTTTTAATATGATTTTCCCCCTTTGATAATTCACACATTTTTACCCGGTAGCAATAATAATTATTGCGTGCATGCAAAATAATTCAAATTATTGCCTTTTGTAGCTTTAGGAAACACATTTCCCCCTCCTTGTGTTGGCTATGGAACCATGCCATTGCTTTATGTGCTATGGGCAATTCCATTTCTACCCTAAGGCACATCCTAGCTCAAGATCAATCCTGCTTCTGCTGCAGCTGATAGGAAGAATCAGGACAATTCTCAAAATAGCTTGGAGGGATAGAAGTAAATAAACAGTTTGGCTAGCTCCTGTGGTTTGGATCTTGTGACAGTCTGCATCAAAGTTAATGACTTTTTGCAGCGAAGGGTAGAAATTAACACCTCCTTTCACATTCCATACTCAACTTTTAGCTGACTGACCAAAATGCAAGATGTATAGGATGTTTAAATTCTGTTCTCTAGCAAGCAAATTCTGTAACAAAATTTGTATTCTGCTTCACATGAGTTACCTTTGGCAAGAACCCAGAAAAGAGAAGGGGGCAAGTGACAAAACTTTTATCACATCAAGAGCTCCATCCCTTTTGTGGCATAAGGGCAAAAGATTGGTGCTCGCCATTGTGTCCAGGGAAAGACGTTGTAAAAGAAAACCTTCTTGCAAGTTCGAGAAGTTTGATTGAACTTGCAAGAAAGTTTTCTTTTACAGTATGTTTCCCTGGACACAACAGTGAGGAAAGCGACGGATCTTGAAAGGTAAGACTTGTGTCCCCCTTCTCGTTCGCCATCCCCAAATTGCATCCCTAAAGGGGGCAGGTCAGTAAGCAAGGGGCAGGAGCCCTGCCATGCCCAGCAAGTGGGGGGAGAAGAGACGGCAAGGGGCGCCACGTCTTGCTCCACGTGTCTCACTTCTCTCCTGCCCCACCTGCCACCCCTCTCGATAAAGAAACGGCGGGGAAGGGAAGCAGCTGTTGCCATTGGGGTGGGGTGGGACTTGTTAGGCAGCTCTGCCGGCATGAAGAACAGGGAGGGGAGGCGACGGCAGCGACGGGACATCCAGTCCCATGTTTGCTACCTCCTGCACCCCCAAAATAATAAGAGCCCCCTATAATAAGTCCAAGCCCTTATTTGGGGGGGTCAAAAGAAAATAAGACTCTGTCTTATTTTTGGGGAAACACGGTAATGATTTGAGGTGATTCAAGCTTCACCGATACAGGTAGTTTTTGACTTAGGAGCACAAGTTGGGACCAGAACTTTTGTTGCTAAGCAAGGCAATTTTATAACATTTGCTATGGTTGTTAAACGAGTCATTGCAGTGGTTAAGTAAATCCCATGGTTGTTAAGTGAATCCAGCCTCCTCCATTGGCTTTGTTTATTGGAAGCTGACTGGGAAAGTTGCAAGTGGCAGTCACATGATCCCGGGATGCTGCAACTATTGTAAATACATGCCAGTTGCCAAGTGCCTAAATTTTGATCACATGATCATGGGGATGTGCAACAATCATAAAAGTGAGGGCTAGTCTTAAGCCACTTTTTCTTTTTTCTTTGTGCCTTTGTAACTTTGAACGGTCACTAAACAAATTGTTGTAAATCAAGGACTATTTATAATCCCATTCTGATGCACTATAGCTCCAGCAATGTTTCTCAGATGCTTTTAAAGGGGGAAAAAAAGGCAAGCCACTTCCAGATTTATTTTTAACATGTCATGCAAGGCCAGGACTTCTCCCGCTGATTTGTTTTATCAGCATTATATGACAATTCAAGCCAAGAAATATCTGATGCAAGTGACTTGTTAGTAAAAGCTGGAACCGCGTAGCAGTTTTAATCAAAAGATTGATATCTTTTACATTTTCAGAGATTAGAATTTGGGCTAAAGTTACTTTGATGTATATTTTAACTTTCTGTGCAGGACAATCAAGGAAATGACTTTCATCTTGGAATTTTCTGCATGGGGATTTTTCTAAAGAACCCAATGGGAAGATCCACAGTGAACTACAGGTAAAAGTAAGATTGAAGGGATTTTGCATTTGATCCGACCAAAACTAGATCAAAATGCATTTGAAACTTTGGATTGGTTTCAGTATAGGGTAACAATGTTGTTGTTGTTAGTTGCAAAGTCATGTCCGACCCATCGCGACCCCATGGACAACGTTCCTCCAGGCCTTCCTGTCCTCTACCATCCTCTGGAGTCCATTTAAATTCACACCTACTGCTTCAGTGACTCCATCCAGCCACCTCATTCTCTGTCGTCCCGTTCTTCTTTTGCCCTCAATCATTCCCAGCATTAGGCTCTTCTCCAGTGAGTCCTTCCTTCTCATTAGATGGCCAAAGTATTTGAGTTTTGGGTAACAATGTAGGGAAGATTAATTGCCCTTATACTCTGCTTAATAAGTATAAGTATAATTTTATTTCTATACCGCCCTTCTCCCGAAGGACTCAGGGCAGTGTACAGCCTATTTAAAAACACAAGACAAACATCAATTAAAAATTAAAAATTATTAAATAAATTCAGCTCAATTTAAAACCCCAGAAATTTAAAATACCCCAATATATAAAATTATTATATATTGATAGCCCGGCCTGGTGGAACAACAGGGTCTTCAGTGCACAGCGAAATACCCGGAGGTTGGAGATCTTACGTATTTCCAGGGGCAGTTCATTCCACAGGACTGTCAAGATGCACAGGGGAAGCAGCATTCTAGACTTGACAAGCCATTGATCTGACCCAACAGCTTTTATTTATTTATTCATTCATTCATTCATTCATTCATTCATTCATTCATTCATTCAATTTATATCCCGCCCTTCTCCAAGTGGACTCAGGGCGGTGCACAGCCAGAACTAAAACACATATCAATACAAAATTTAAAATTATTAAAAGAATTAAATAACTGTGGCTCAAAAATTTAAAACATTGAAAACTAAAACCCATTTGACAATTTAAAAAGCTAAAAAGACTAAAAAAGGGGGGAGGGTGTTCACGCCAGCCCTGCTTGATGGAAAAGAAAAGTTTTTAGGGCACGGCGAAAAACCCGGAGATCCGATATCTTTCGTATCTCTGGGGGCAAATCATTACAGAGGGCAGGAGCTGCCACAGAGAAGGCCCTCCCCCTGGGGGTCGCCAGCCGACATTGCCTGGCTGACGGCACCCTGAGGAGTCCCTCTCTGTGAGAGCGTACTGGTCGGTGGGAGGCTATCGGCGGCAGAAGGTGGTGCCGCAAATACCCAGGTCCCATGCCATGGAGTGCTTTAAAGGTGGTGACCAACACCTTGAAGCGCACCCGGAAGACCACTGGAAGCCAATGCAGCTCACGCAGAGAGGTGTCACATGGGAGCGCCCCCTCGCTCCCATAATCCCCCGCGCGGCCGCATTCTGCACCAGTTGGAGCCTCCGGGTGCTCCTCAAGGGGAGCCCCATGTAGAGAGCATTACAGTAGTCCAATTTGTATATATTATGGTTTAGATTTTATCCACTGAAATCAATGAGAATCCAAAGTGCTTTGCTTATCATAATACTGTTGCTTATATTGTATTGGAGTTCTTTGGATATCATTAGCTTCTTATTAGTCATAGTTTATACAGAGAGAAAAACCATAACCTTTAAAAATGAATAAATCAGATCTTATTAATGTTCCTTTGTCATTCAGTTATTTTTTTTTTCCCTTCAAGAAGCCTAATGACCATCAAAGCACACCTAGATTTATATTTGTTTATCTTTGCTTCTGAGAGGATCAGGATTTGTCATTACACTGTACATGCAATAAAATTACCTGGATTTATAATTATACTGCTCAAAAAAATAAAGGGAACACAAGCCGAAGACATCCGAGATCTGAATGAATGAAATAGCCTTATTAAGTACTTTGTTCGTTACATACAATAGTTTTGTATTCCCTTTAGTTGTTTGAGCAGTGTATAAACTACTGTATGTAAAGAACAAAGTATTTAATGAGGCTATTTCATTCATTCATATCTTGGATGTCTTCTGCTTGTGTTCCCTTTATTTTTTTGAGCAGTATATATGTAGAGCAATTTGACTTAAATGATTTATGAATATTTCTTTTTGTAATAAAACAAATATTCTGAACATGTAGCTTATGTCAACTTTCTTTACTTAAATAGTTATAGCACTAATGTCCCCCAAATCAATTCTTATAAGCAATGTTGTATGGGAATTCTGGAAAGTAATAGCTCTTGCATATTCAGTAAGGTGAATATGCAAAAAAAACAGTAAGTTTTTTTTCTTTACCAAAAGGAAAAAAAAATTAAAAAAATGTTCAAACAAAAAAAAAAAGAACCCAAGGCAATTTGAGAAAGAGGAAGATCAAAATTCCATATTTGTGTGTGTGTGTGTGTGTGTGTGTGTGTGTCTAATGGATTTCCAAATTAAATATTTTTGCAATGAGATTTCCCTGTTTTAAACCATGTTGTTTTTCTATAGGTGGAACGATATTGGAAATATAACACACAACAAGTCTTCAATTGTTGTAGAATTGGTTAACAAAGAAGAAACTGTATTGTTTCATACGGTAGGCAAATGTTAAAAGATCAATCTCAGAATCATAAATAATGATGATATAAGTGACATATCCTGAGCCCAGTGATAGATTGCAATAAAGCTTCTATAGCCAAAGACAACAAGAAAACGTGGCAATTCTTAGAACTTTTTCTTGAGTAGACTGATGGTTCCACAGAAGCAAAGCATTTGTTGGTTCCTTTTCAGAGAGACACATTCCACTCAAGTGGGAATTTCCACTTTATTCTGATGAATGTTTAAATCACCTAGGTATTCTATATGATAGAGAGCAGTAGCTGCCTTCCAGGGATGTTAACCAGGTGTAGCAAAATTGAAAAAATCATGCTGTCTTGCTGTCTCCAATTTACCTTTGGAGAGAAACTGTAATACAAATTGGCATTGGACTAACCCAGTGGTATCAAACTCAAGGCCCGGGCGCTGGATCCAGCCCACAGGGTGCTTAGATCTGGCCTGCAGGGCCACCCTGGAAACAGTGAAGGACTGGCCTGCGGTACCTCTGCCACTCCCGAGCTCCGTTTTCGCTGGCAGAGGGTTGCAGGAGGCCATTGCAGCCGAAAACAGAGCCTGCAAGGGCTGCATGTGGCCCTCCTGAGCTCTGTTTTCAGTGGTGGAGGGTTGGAGGAGTCACAGCCAAAAAAGGGAGCCTGTTTTCCCTGGCAGAGCGCTCGGGCTGCCACAGGCGCCCCCGACACAAGTGACATTGAGCTGGCCACACACACACACACACACACACACACACACACACACACACACACCCGAGGTCAAACACAACCCTGATGTGGCCTTTAATGAAATCTAGTTTGATACCCCTGGGCTAACCCTACCAAATAATAGCACTAGCACTTAGATTTATATACCACCCCATAGTGCTTTACAGCACTCTCTGAGCTGTCTACAATGGCAGCATATTGCCCCCAACAATCTGGGTCCTCATTTTACTGACCTCAGAAGGATGGAAGGCTGAATCAACCTCAAGCCCATCAGGATCAAACTCCAGGCTGTGGGCAGAGTTAGCCTGCAATGCTGCATTCTAACCATTGCGCCAGCAAGGCTCTTTTAAATAAAGTTTGAAAAATGGGGGGACCACTCAGTTAAATATGCATTCTCTCCCTTTATGTTTGGCTTTAACAGCTTGGACGTTCATGACTGTTTGAAGTGTAAAATTATAATAAAAGCATTTCTTCCCATCTTTTTGAACTTTAAAATTATAATAAAAGGTATCCCTATCCACTTTATTTCAGAAGGCTCTTTGAGCCTTCTGATTGAGGTGGGGGCTTTGTGTGGGCAGTTGGCTTTCAGTAAATGAATGGAGATGAGGGCTGAAGAGGACAGTGCCAGCTGACTGTCTCCCATTGAGCAGTGACCATCAGCTGGTCAGAAGTGGCCAGACTCAGCAGGCCAGTGGCTACATGCTGATTGAACCTGATCTCCCCAAAGTATAAATTTCCCAGTTTAGAGAAACTTGTTCTCTGCGTTTTCATACTGCTCTGCCTTTGGGAAACTTTGAGCCAATTATATTCACTTCTGAGCCACAAAACTGGCAAAGACCTGCTCAAGTTTAATAATGCAGCAGCCTTATTTATTCTTTAGCCCAGTCTTTGAGCCAGATGGTATGGCAAGATTGCACTAGTATCCCTGATCTACGATTACTTGAATGATGCTAAACTTGGGGATTTTTGTATATATTTTTGTATATATTTTTCTGCAAAGCATTCTTCCTACTGAATATTTCAGAGGAACATGGTCAGTGTTATATAACTCTTTGTTATGTTTGTCCCAGCGAAATTCAGTGTTATTCTTTCCTTCTTTTTCCCTGTTCTCTCCCTCCCACTTTTCTGCTTTAAAAGGATGACCTTGAAAACGCCAAGTACATTTCACGGCTCTTTGCTGCGAAGCACAAGTTTTACAAACAAAACAAAATCTGCACAGAGTAAGTACATATCTTTGGGAAATTCTGGCTGGCTGCAATAAATGTCAAGTGGTCGTGTTTTGGATTAGGTTATTTATGTATTTGTCATGTGTTCGTTTGTTTGTCTGTTTGAGGCCATTGTATTATTTATTCTCCATCTGTTCATTGCCCATACAGCAGAATCAAAGATTATAACTCTAGACGTAATGTGTTTTCTTCATGGGTACACCAGAGATACGGGAAAAAATGGAAACATTCTTTTTTGTAGATGTCTTGGAAATCTCTCATTGAAAGACAGTCAAAGAATGAGAAGGAACGGCATGAAAATCAGGTGTTTCCCATTGTAGTCTAAAATGTACAGTTTAGGTTTAGACATTTGTACAGGGCTTTATAAATTATTGGCAAGCCCCATAGGACTTTTCAGTTTCTAACTTGACTTTGGTTAACAAACCAGAATGAGAAAATTGGTTTCCAGAAACTTGTTTTTCCCTCCTGGTTCCACTTGGAGGAAGTGCTTTTTAGTGTTGCTGTCTATTATGGAATGAGCAACCAGCAGCTCATGCCAAAGACTATTATATTCAGGTTTTCTGTTGGTTGCTTTCTGATTTACAGCTATCCTTATCTATACTGCATATTCATCTCTCCTTGGTTTTAAGCTTTCTGTCCTCTGTCTTCCTTCATATTAACTTGCCGTGGCAAATATTCCTTTGCATTGGAATGGAGAAGAAAAACCTACTGCCACTTTATAGAGATTGTGGTCTGTGTTGAACTACCACTTTTTCTATGGGTACATCAGCTGCATTTTTTTGCAGGTAGTTATGTCACACTGGTCTCAGGAATACAAGTAGCCAGTACTAGTGTTGTCAGTATAATAATATGAAATCTGAAATGTGGGGCCATTTAAATACTCCATTGTATTCAGATGTGTCATTAGGTCTGATAAGGGCTGCCTAAGTCTAAATAATCACTAGATTGCAATAATGAGGTATAGAAAGCTCTATTTTTTGTTTGTTTGATTTTGCAATAGACTTGGAAGTGGATTAATGTCATGTAAGATGTTTGAAAGAGGGATTCTTGAGATGCACATCCGTGTCCAAACTTGTATGTTTAGCTACTGTGAAATCACTGTTCTCCATAGAGCTGGATCGAGAGCATCCACGAATGGGTAGTAGCTCTATATCTTCTGCATGTAGACTGAGAATGTGATCTTTATTTACATATCTGGTCACTCCTTCCTGGTCTGGTGATTCCCCAGTTCGGCTCAGTCTTCATTCAGAAAAGAGGGCTTGGAGAGAGCTGCACCTTCAAGCTGGATTCTCTAATTGTGAGCTTAACAAAACTGCTTTATTTTTATGTAGATTGCCTCTGCAATCAAGCAGCCTTGTTGGTCTGCTGATTTGCTGCCTCAGTGCCGGCTTCAGTCAGCTGAGATCCCAGCCAGCTGCGGTAAGCGGTAAAGGCCTAAATAACTGATCCAGCTCCTTTTGGGGTGAGCAGAGATCAGAAGGGGACTAAGTCACTGCACAGCAGCGTCTGGGCATACTGTGAAGTGGCAGAAGTGAGGAGAGCGCGATTAGAGCCGTGGCAACAATTATCCATTGAGGGTCCGCCTGCCTTACTATAAGAGAGAGATGGCATCTTGTGCGACCTCCTCTAGCCAGCAGTCCACATCGAGTGGCAAGAGAGCTGATCTTGGGGCTTCCCCAATTTCAAAGCTGGGCTCCTGGGCAGAGAATGGCAGCAAAGGGAGCTACAACCAGGAGCCAGGCTACTGCCTCTAAGAATAGCAGAGGCTCCAAAATGGCTGACAAGGATACAAAACGGCACCAAAAGGCTATAGAAAAAGAGCTGGCTAAGATCCAAAAGGCCAAGGAAATCCTGGATCAAGGAGTTTTGCCTGTGGGAGGGGCAGAAGTCTCCCGCCCTCAGGAAGAGGGGCCATTGGATCCTGGTAATTTTCCAGGTCCCCTGAAATCAGTTTCTCATCGCCAATTGTCACCAGATGGCACCAGAGAGGTGCTATCCAACCTTAGGAGAGATTTTGGATAGAGCTGAAGCCTTTTCCCTTGCAAGTGCTAACAGATCCAGCAGGAGCAACTCAAAGGACAGGGTAAGAGTTCCCCTACAGGTACTGCAGTTCCTTAGGTAGTGGAGATCACAGGCCCTCACCAGAGGATGCCTATTCAAGGAGCCAGACCGTCTGACCATCACAATGGACCCCAGCCTTTATGGTTGGAGGGCTCATTGTCAGTCATGGATCGCGCAGGACCGGTGGACCCAGGCAGACAAGTCTCACAAGATCAATTGGCTGGAGCTAAGGGTGGTTTATCTGGCCCTCAAGAGCTTCAAGGAAGCCATAGTGGGACACCATGTTTTTAACAGACAACATGACAGCCAAAGCCCACATCAATCGCCAAGGGGGGACTCATTCCAGGTCCCTCATGGCAGTGGCAAATTGTCTGGGGTGCTGGGCGGAAAGACATCTCCTATCCATAAGGGCAGACCACATCTTCGGGGTCCTGAATGTGCAGGCAGATTTTCTCAGCAGGGCGACAGTGGACCATTCAGAGTGGCGTCTGCATCCCTTTCTGTTCCAGGAGCTGACAGTGCGTTACGGGAGGCCAGTCAGATCTGTTTGCCTCTCCAGAAAACACCCACCTGCCGAGGTTTTCAGCAGGTTCAGGGCATGGGGGGTCAGAAGGGACGGATGCCCTATGCAGTCCATGGCCTCAGGGACTGTAATATGCCTTTCCTCCCCCAGCCTTGATCCCAGAAGTCATCAGAAAGGTACTCACGGCAAAGGCAGAAGTAATCATGTTAGGCCCCTATTGGCCCAGGAGACCATGGTTGGCTGACCTGGTCTACCTGTCCGTGAACAACTCTGGAGAATACCTCAGGACAAAATTTTCCTCAGCCGGGGAGCTGGTCCATTCGGAGCCACAGTGGCTCCAACTGACTGCCTGGCACTTGAGTGGAGGTCCCTGAGGCAGGAGAATTTCTCTCCCAGAATCATCAAAACTATCCAGGCCTCCAGGCGAAGGTCGACAGACAGGATATATAATGCGTCCTGGAAGTCATTCTGTTCCTGGTGCTCTGGATCAGGGCTTGATCCTTCTGAGGTTTCAGTAGTGCAAGTCCTGGAGTTCCTCCAGGAGGGATTAGACAAAGGATTTAACACCCAACACTATACGGAGACATATAGCAGCATTGTCTTCTGTTTTATCTTGTGGAGGTTTAGAGTCTCTTTCTAAGCACCCCACAGTGCGAAGATTCCTCAGGGGCGCCTCCAACTTACGGCCACCTGTGGTTCACAGGTATCCCACCTGGGATCTAACTAAGGTTTTACAGGCCCTCACAGAGAGTCCCTTTGAGATCAGCCAGTCTACTTTTCCTCTCATTCAAAGTGGCCTTCCTCGTAGCTATTACATTGGCCAGGAGGATTTCGGAGTTGGCGGCTCTTTCCGTGAGACAAGACCTCTGCATTTTCCATCTGGACAGGGTGGAAATATTTGAACCTTCTTTCATCCCCAAAGTCAATTCATGGTTTCATAGGGCCCAGGAGTTGGTTTTGCCCAACTTCTGCCTGGGCCCAAGACATGCCCTAGAACAGAGGTGGCATACGCTGGATGTGAGAAGGGCCTTCCATATTTACATATTTACATCAAATACACGTCTTCCTTCAGGAAGACTGAATCCTTGTTCATTTCCTTTCAACCTTCTACACTAGGATATAGAGTCACTCTTCTATGGTGGATCATTGGATTAGAGCTTGCTTTGCTAAGGCATACGAGGTTCAGAACCTGCCAACGCCTAGGCACATAACAGCACATTCTACCAGAAGCGCAACCCCGACAGCGGCATGGGCGACACAGGCCTCTACTGAGGAAGTGTGTCGTACAGCTACATGTTCCTCACCATCCCCATTTATTCGGCACTATAAGTTGGACTCCTTTGCGGAGGCAGCCTTTCGGAGGCGAGTCCTCCAGAGGGTTCATAGTGTCGGGGGGGGGGACTTAGGATCGGACTGCACCCACCCGTAGGGGACAGGCCGGCTTTTGTATGTCCCATTCCTGGATGCTCGATCCAGCTCTATGGAGAATGGGTGTTGGTCCTACCTGAACTCTATTTCTCGTAGAGCTGGTAGAGAGCATCCAGCCTCACCCTTTCTAATGTCTGGTCCACAGTCCGAGAGGGGCTCCTATTTTAAGGTCACAAGTCTATTCATCGTTATGCCTTTGCCGAACTGGGGAATCACCAGACCAGGAAGGAGTGACCAGATATGCAAATAAAGATCACGTGCTCAGTCTACATGCAGAAGATATAGAGCTACTAGCCATTCCTGGATGCTCTCTTATAAAAGTATAAAAGTCCCTTAAAGGAGTTAGTGCTTTTTTGGTTGTAATGTCCCAGCAGCTTGTGCATTTGAGCCATGGTGGCACAGTGGTTAGAATGCAGTATTACAGGCTAATTCGGCTTACTGTCAGCACTTGGCAGTTCGAGTCTCACCGACTCAAGGTTGACTCAGTTTTCCATCCTTCCGAGGTCAGTCAAATGAGGAGCCAGATCGTTGGGGTCAATATACTGACTCTGTAAACCACTTAGGGAGGGCTGTAAAAGCACTATGAAGCGGTATATAAGTCTAAGTGCTATTGCTATGTCAAGAGTGTTCTGCAAATGAAACTTTAGGGCAATGCTAGCTGGGGAATTCTTGAAGTTGAAGTCTTAAAATGGCTAAGATTGAGAAACAGTGTTCTAGGGTTTAATTAGTTAAAATATGACTAAGAGGAAATCATGGTTGACTTTACAACCTAGCTTGCAAATTGAACTGCCATATCTGTCCTACCAGTATATATCATCTGTGGAGCTTTCATAACTGGGTGTTTCCTACATGACAGTATTGGCATGCTAATTGAAATATTCATTAGATTTATATCTTGTCTTCTATACAGGATATACAGTAAATGTTCCCTTCTCCTATCTGCCCTGACAACTGTAAACCTGTAAAGTAGTTTTGCTTTGAGGGAGTGAGACTGGCCCGAAGTCCCCGTGTGAGCTTCCATGGTTGAGGATGAATTAGAACCTGGTTCTCCCTCATCCTAGTCTGAGAAGTCAGAGAAAGTAGGAAGTATAAAGCTTATCATTAAAATCTAAATCACATCAAAACATTGTACACGAGTGGAATTGGATGCTTTATTTGTAGCTTTTCATCCTTCGTTTTTATTGTCATTGCAGCAGCCATACAACTGTATAACAACTGTCCTCTTATTACAAAGCACAACCACCTATAGCCAGTTTCAGAAAGAAAAAAATAAAACAAATGATGGTAGAAGAATACAGCATGATAAGAAATAGCAGGCCCCCTGCAGTGGCAAATATTTTCTAGAGATGAGATAGGGAGTGGTAGAGTAGGGGGAAAGAAGTAATGTTTGCATTGGTTTTGTGTTTGCTTTCCTGTACATTTAAGCTCTGGAAGATAAGGAAGGATGACTTAATGAGTTTCAGTCACGTAGAACAACACAGTGACCTCATTTTCATAAAAGTTGCCACCATGAAAGAAAAAACCTAATGCCTGAATGAAAGTAATGCCAGATACTGTATGCCAGTAACTGACAGATAAACAGAAGAGCAGGACCAGGTCATGGTTCATTCATAGAATTCAAACGAAAGTAGAAGCATGGGTATCTATACTCCAAAAGCAAGTTTTCTGAGTTTTCTTGGCTAAACTCTTGGCACTTTTTGTAGTGGATGAAAGGTCTTGGAGGTTTCTCTCGGTGCATCTTTAATAAAAAAAAAAGTAATATAAAATGTGTGGTCTCATGATCCAGATTTAAGTCATCACAAATGGGGCGGGAGTAAATTTTGCATGAGATGACGGGGGGAAGAGCAAAAGGAAAAAGAGGCAGTGCTGATGGATCAACCCCATTTTCAGCACCTCTGCTCTCCAATTCATTTTATTCTAGGTGTCCCTGCCATCTGACTAGGGTTTTTATTCTTATATGTGAATTTTTTAGCATTTGGAATTTTCTTTAGCATTCAGAATTTTCTTCCTTTGGGTGGGAATATGATGATCTAGAGCAGGGGTGTCAAACTCACGTCGTCACAATGTCATCACATGACGTATCATGACTTTTCCCCCCTTCACTAAACTGGGCGTGGGCGTGGCCAGCGCATGACCCATCTGGGTTGCGGGCCGTGAATTTGGTAGCCCTGATCTAGAGAGTATTTGTGAAGCTGGAAGAATTGTGTCTCGTGTGAGATGTTGATATGCTTGTTTTATTAATCTTGATGTATTGTTTGATATCATCTTTTTTTTTTTTTTTACTTTTTTAAAATTCTACTTTTGTTGTTAACTGCCTTTGGAGTCTTGTCTGGAAAGTGGTCAGTGTGTTTTCAGAATTTAGTAAAAGAATATGTTGGTTGGGTTAATAACATTAGTTCCCAAGATCTACGATGTCTAGCTGTGAAGTTTTCCATATCTTTATCTTTTGCGTCTGCTGTTTGCAATTTGTATGGAGGCAGGTATGAGTGGGTATTTTCTAATTGCACATCACGTCATTTACCAGATCAGAAAATGTAAGATGAGGAATTCCACCTTTCCTTTCTGCACGTAAGCACTTTATTTCTACCATACTTTGTGACTTTTTTTTATTTTGTGCCTCTTTGTTCTTTCTCCCACCTCCCACTTACTATTTTAACATGAAATTCCATTTATCTGTTTGTTTCTCTCTTAGCCTGCGAGTGCCTTTATCTTGTTGGGTGATTTGTTATGCTCTTACTGTTATCTTTTTTTCAAATCTCTTTCCAAAACTGGCGTTCTCCAACCTGGTGCCCTTCATATCTTGGACCTATAATGCTCATCATCTCAATAATGGAAGTGACAGAAGTTGTGGTTAAACAGGTCTGGAGAGCTCTAATTGGAGAAAAATTGGCCTAAATAATATCAAATTAACTCTTGATAGTTTGGTTTGGTTCTGTTCATTATATACATTTTCAGGTTTAAATAAATTAGTTCTTTTTTTAAGGGCATGTATGATAATAAATGTTAACGCCTTTATAAATAATACATTCTATTTCTTTAGTACATATATTTTCATATTTGTTTCAAAACAGATAATAACTGCTGTTATGTAACAGTATTTTCATTCCACTTGCATAAGAATACATGTTCTGTATTTTACAGAATGACAGTGATTAAGAATCATTTCTATCTTTTCCCCACAGACAATCAAATTCTCCTCCCCCTATCAGACGGCGGCCCACATGGAGCAGATCATCTTTGGTAAATATCTTGCTCAAGAGACACGGAATACTCTAATGCTCCTCCAACTAGTTGTAATTACAAACAGTTGTAATAAACTGTTTTGTAAAAAGAGCCGTGGTAGCGCAGTGTTTAGAATCGAGTACTGATGGCTAGTTCTGCTGACTACCAACTGCCAGCAGTTCAATTCTCACCAGGCTCAAGGTTGACTCAGCTTTCCATTCTTCCGAGGTTGGTAAAATGAGGACCCAGATTGTTGGGGGCAATATTGATTCTGTAACCTACTTAGAGAGGGCTGTAAAGGACTGTGAAGCGATATACAGTAGTGGCCAAAATTGTGGAAATCTTTTGGGAAAAGTATATTTTCTAAAACTAGCTAATAACACCACTTTTTTGGGAGTAATACCATAAAATTATATATCAATGGAAAGATAATTTAATCAAGAATGCAATGCAATAACTTATGAAAGATTTGCTATTAGAATAGCAGTTACAGTATAAAGAAGAAAAGTGAAACACGTAGAAAAAATGAGATAATACAAAAATTATCAGCATGTCAGTTAATAGTTGGGTAACCTTTATCATGAATTACGGCCTTACAGTGTCTTCCCATGGAGTGAACCAAGTCTTTTAGTTCTGCAGCTGTTATAATGTGAAACCAAGATTGAATGATTGCTTCTATTAACTGGGTTTTATTGCTGGGTCGCTTCTGACTAACAAGTTTCTTTAGTCGGCTCCATAGATTTTCAATTGGGTTAAGGTCTGGGCTATTCCCAGGCCATTCCAGCAGTGGAATATGATTATCTTGAAACTCCCCAAAAAAAAAGTGGTGTTATTAGCCATCAAACCTCAAAAATACACTTTTCCCAAAAGGTTTCCATAATTTTGGCTATTACTGTATAAGAGTGCTGTTGCTATTGCTATTATAGACAGATTACAAAAAAATGCCATAAATAACTCTCCAATGCATATGTTTTATTTTACTTCACTTTTTAGCCAAGGCAGCACCCATTTATTATGCCTCCTGTGCATGTCCAATGTGGAGAACACTACACTGAAACTCACAATTCACAAGGTTAGTGATGGGAATGGGAATAATAACAACAACATCAGATATAAAGCCTACTTTTTAAAAAGGAATTTACAATATCGAGATTTTTTTTTTTTTTTTTTTTTTGCAATATAAGGATAGGCATTTTTTTTCATGAAGTTTCTATAACTTAATCAATATTTGAGGAGGTCACATTCCTGCAGTCGGCTGAAGACAGGGCAGAATTAAATAACTTTCATCTTTGTTCAGTATATGCATCCTCTTTCTGAAATAGGTTTGCATCCAAGTTTTGCTTTTCCAAATCCAAAGATCTAGCTAGACTCGGCAGTGTTTGTATTTGGCTCCCTGGCCAGGTACATAATCGATAATAGTTGCCGGATTGAAATGGAGCCTTTCTGATTTACAGCTGTAGTTCTTACTTACTGTGCAGTCATATCTCCCTTTCTCATGGAAGGTTACTAATACTTGAACTGAACGGCAGAGAAAGTGAAGTAAGCAAGTAAATAATTCATTAATAAGAATTATTTAGCAATGCTATTTCTAGAGTGTTAAAATCTAAAATTGCAGAGATAAAATGTATGTCTTGAAATGGTAACAGGCTAGTGGAAATAATAAAATAGCTCTGATTCCATCCTAAAGTTTGGAAATAGATAGTCGCTTTATTTTTGCTACAGTTTAGAAAAAGTACCTTCTTATGTTTGCCTTCATATCTCCCCTTAGAGAGTCCAAGGGAAAATTGGAGCATTTATTTATTTATTTTACAGTTTTTATATAGAAAATTCTGGACAAACTATAACACTTGAAATTATAAAATCAGCAGTTGAAATAAATCAAAATTATAACAAGCAATCAATTCTTTCTCCAAGATGGGCACCAATAAAACTTAGCTAGCCTTTGAAGATCTAAAAACTTCAAGAGAGCTTATTGACATCTGGTGGTCAAGAATGCCAGAATTTGGAAGCTATCACAGATAAGGCTTATCATTCATATTTGGTCTTCTGAGAACAAAAGTTCTTGCCAGTCTCCCCGCCCCCAAATTTCTTTGAATGAATAGAGAACATCTGAAATGAAATTATAAATATTCCCAGTTGAACATAAATACCATTATTCTTCTGAGCTTATTCCCATCGACATGTTGGCGAAGGTAAGTGAAGTGCAATACATACTTCTTATCATGTCTCCTTTTTTTTGGATGTCATACTTCTGAATAAAACTGCAGTCAGCAATACATGGTCACTATGATTCTAACTTTTAATCAAGAGCCCTGCATGTACTCGGATGAGAGTACAAAATGTTTGTGTGACTAAACTTCCTATTAAAAAGGAGGAAAAAGAAACAGTTTTTGAATGCGTGGGTGGATAGATGGATGGATGGACATACAAAGCTTTCCCATGTTGTGTATTTTAGAATTCTGCACTGACAAGAATGTTACTGAATAGTGACAATAACAGTATTTGTTCAATTCAAAAGAAAATGATCCCGAATTTCTGTGCTTGTTGGCATTGCTATTCCTAAATGTGAGGAACTCCAAAACTGCATTAGATTTCTTTTTCTACAGCCATCAATGACGAGACTTTGTTTATGCAGGTGGGACTGCTATGGCCGAAACTGAGATGTAACTCTAATAATGTTTTTAAATCACATTTTCTATCTGTTATATAGCCTGTTCATTGTATTTCCCATTCATTTTCTACTTTTCCTACACACAGATAGCATTTTTCATGGAAATGAAGACATGTTTTACTATAGATCTCAGACGAGCTTGGACAGATGTGCAATGGACTTCAGCTATTTGAACGGCAGTGTCCCAAATGGCAGTGTGTGCAGTGCCCAAAGTATGAACTCTCTCAACCATTCGCAGAACTTCATTCAAGCTTCTCCGGTATCCTCCAACCTCAGTATCCCTGGAAGTGATATTATGAGAGCAGATTACATACCAAGCCATAGACACAGTGCAATAATTGTCCCTTCATATAGGCCAACTCCAGATTATGACACTGTAATGAGGCAAATGAAAAGAGGAGTGATTCACGCTGATAGCCAAAGCCAGTCTTTGAGGAACCTCAACATTGGGAACACTCATGTTTACAGCCAACCCACAGATCTTGTATACAGTCAACCAGAAATTCAGGAGCGACCTTCTTATACCATTGCATATGGGCCTCAAGGCACTTACAAAAAACATGTGACTCCTTCTGAGCAAGTGAATCCCATGAATGCTTTGCAGGCAAAACCGACATCTAGTGCCATTTCCCATACAGTTAGCACTCCAGAGCTGGCCAATATGCAGCTCCCCAACAATCAAAGATGTGGCCCTGCACACGTACTGAAGAACTATCTTTTCAGGCCTCCACCACCCTATCCGCGTCCACGTCCTGCTACCAGTACACCTGACCTAGCAAGTCACCGCCACAAGTATGTCACTGGCAGTAGCCCTGACCTGGTCCCTCGGAAAGTGCAGCTTTCAGTGAAGACTTTCCAAGAGGATAGTGCTCCTGTCATCCACCAGTCACTACAGGAAGTTAGTGAACCTTTTATGGCAGCCAAACATCATGCAGCCATCAATAAACGCCACAGTTTGGAAGTGATCAGTAATATGGTGCGTGGAATGGAAGCTATGGCTTTAAAAAGCCTGAATGCTCCTTTGCCACGCAGAAATACCCTACGCAATGAGATGCAGCCAGAGGAAGTGGTGCAAAGAGGGCATGAGGTTCAGCAGCTCCCTCATTACCATCACAAAAAGACTTTCTCTGATGCTACAATGCTGATCCACAGCAGTGAAAGTGAAGATGAGGAAGAAGCATCAGAATCTGTCCCTTCCATGGCAGCCCTACATGAAAACATGGAGTATAGCGTTCAGTTGCAAGCTGCCTTGGCTCGAATACCTAACAAACCTCCTCCTGAGTATCCTGGTCCCAGGAAAAGTGTTAGCAATGGAGCTCTGCGGAATGACCAGATGAATAATGTTCCACGGGCTGTGTCTCGAGCCAAGGTGGCGAGGCCGGGACCAGCCAGGACAATTAGCATATCTCGGACTGATCAGAGCATGATGAATGGATCTTCCCTTGGTCCATCAATCTCTGAGCCAGACCTCACAAGTGTCAAGGAACGGGTCAAGAAAGAACCGGTGAAGGAGAGGCCTGTGTCTGAAATGTTCTCCATTGAAGATAGTATCATAGAAAGGGAAATGAGGGTAAGTGTATTTTTCATGTACTTTAGGGATATCTCTGAATGGTAACCAGAAGTTACAGTTGAAAATAAATATCTGCTATGTCATTAAAAAGAAGCCTCTTTCAAAGCTAGTTTAAATTAAGGGCATATGCCTCTGTTTGAACACATGGGCGATTGGGGGGTGGGAATCAGGTCCAAGAATGTCTTTATTAATATGGAAGCCATATTAGGCCAGAAGGGGCTGGGTCGAAGTGGAACGGACGTTGATTGGAGCATGTGATCGAAAGGGGAGAAGGGGATGGTTTGGGGAGCTTTGAATTACTGAGGGAAAGCCCGGGCTTTTCAGATTCGGGATTTCCCAGGTGTGCCAGTTTACCTATTCTAGTAAAGAGAACTTTGGAAAATGCTGCTTCCGCGTCTTTACTGGGAGTTGGGGGTTTTCTGGAACGCTGACATTATCCCAAATCCCCCCTCCTACTTTCCCACACATGAGGAACTGGCAGCATTGAAGCTTCCGGCCTAATATGGCTTCCAAGGCTGACACTACAATTGTAATCATATTGGTTAGAAACTTGAAGTCTTTCACTGAAGTAAGTAGCAAAATTGAAAAAGTTGGAAAGTTCTTAACTGTAGTTTTTAAAAAGTTTACATAAAAATCATTGAAATAGATAAAATGTTGTCTTGGATCATGTTCAGAGTCAGCATAAATATTTCAGAATACTTAAAATAGAAGACACTAGATTTCATTGATGCATAAGCCGATGTGATGTTTGAACTGGTAAGAAGATAGTAAGAGATTTGCTGGATCACATTAAAAACACGTCTAGTCCAACATTCTGTTGCTGTGGTTACTCATCCAGATGTCATGGGGAAATCTACAAGCAGGACATGGGTGAACCACACCATCTTACTTCTATTCTCCAGCAACTGATATTCAGGGATATCTTGTTCTGATTGTTGAAATAGTGAATAATCGTCATAGCTACTGGCCAGTGATAGCTATCTGCCCCCATTTTGGAAGCTATTCAAGTTGCTTGTCATTGTTATAGTTAATTCCCTAGTTTAAATATAGTCTGTATGAATAAATCTGTTTATTTTCTTCACCTGAAAGCAGACTCACTGATAAGAACAGATATGTAGAATTGCTGATGTTCTCATATTTCCAGAGTGAACAAGAAATCCAACATCTAGATTACTCAGGCTGCTCAAGTTGACAGAACATTAATTTTATTTTCAAGTCAGGGTACATTTTTTTACCCAACCCCTCCCTAGTTCATCATTCCTTGGCTTTTGTTGTTTTCAGGTCATCCAGTAGTAACTAGGCATATTTTGGTTGTCTTTTGAAGATCTGGAAACTCCCCGGAAAGGTTTATGAAGTGTAAGGCTTAGGGGGGCAATCAGAAGAAGCTTTCAACATCAAGCCAGACCACCTAGATCTGAAATGCAGCCATTTATTACAGACTTGTAAGACAATTTTAATTTTAATAACTTTGTAAAGAGAGTAGTCGAACCCTGAAAAATAGTGGGGAATTCTTTCAGGGCTACATATAAATCTATGAATAATATATTTGAAAGGTAGAATATTACCAGGCTGAAAGAAGAGAAGATGGCCGACATTTCATAATACTCCCTTACCTCCCCCCTCCCCCCATGAAGAATGCCCTTTCTTTTGTTAGTTGGGAGCAATCGAAAAATGTGCAGGAGCTTTCATGAATTCTGAGAGATGGCCTCACAAATGGCAAGTTAATGGCATGTACAGTTTTTGAATCTAACAGAAATGGGCCATAGAGGGCAGGGGAGAAAGAGGGTGTTTTTTTTTTTTTTACATTTCACAGCTTTGCACATTTATACAACGCTTGCCTACTATGAACCTTTTCCAGTTGATCTTTTTGGTGAGATTGGGGTAGATGGGTGAGGAGTGATGTATTTTTATTCAGTTTATATTTAATGGAGCTCATTGTTTTAATTTCAGCATGACAACATCATTTAAAGTATATTAGCAATCTGGGGGTTATATCTGATTTTTGTAGTTTTCTTGGCTAGCTTGTGTTGCTCATTCTGTGGCTAACATTTACATTTGACGGAGAGTATGAAAGAGAGAAAAGACTGCCTCGGATGACAAGTCCTCTGTATTGTGAGACAGTTTCTTTGAAATTAAAATTCTGCATTCATGTCAGAATATTATCTCCTTCCCCCAAGGAAATAATAGGAAGTTTAGGAGATGCATTTGGGTTTGTTCTGCTAATGACGATCATCTGCACTCCTCAGTTGGTGTTGTAGATTTTGTGGGAGATTAAAACGACATTCCAACATTCTGCTGGCATTGTTTCTAATCATCCTGAGATGAAAGCATGCCTTTTCTTGCCAAAAGTATCTAGAGAAACAGAAGATGGCAGGCCTGGAAGCCCAGAAGAGGCCCTTGATGTTGGCAGCACTCAATGGACTCTCAGTTGCTCGAGTTCCAGTGCCTGAGGATAGCCAAGATGAAGGAGCCAAGGTGCCAATGGATGAGCGGGTAAGAATAGGACTTGCAAAACAAAGCAGATTTTTTTTTCTTTTGCGGGGGTGGGTGGGTAGGGAGGTTGTCAGAAATGGTCATTCTTAAATATTTTATTTAAAAATACTTGGGCAGTAGTATACTATACCCTTGTTAATGGTAAAATTGGGATAATATGCACGGGATCACCAGTGCAACATGGGAAAAAATATTAGGACCATGCTAGGTCATGAAATTTAGGGACACGGTGGCTCAGTGGCTAAGACACTGAGCTTGTCTATCGAAAGGTCAGCAGTTCAGCGGTTTGAATCCCTAATGCCACGTAACAGGGTGAGCTCCCATTACTTGACCCAGCTTCGGCCAACTTAGCAGTTCAAAACCACCTAAAAAATGCAAGTAGAAAAATAGGGACCACCTTTGGTGGGAAGGTAAGAGCGTTCCGTGCACCTTTGGCGTTTAGTCATACCGGCCACATGACCATGGAGACGTCTTCGGACAGCACTGGCTCTTCAGCTTTGAAACAGAGGTGAGCACCACCCCCTAGAGTTGGGAACGACTAGCACATATGTGCAAGGGGAACCTTTACCTTTACCTTAGGTCATGAAAGTCTTGCCCATGAATTAGTCCATGAATAGTTTTATTTGTCCCTAAACAACAGAATGCTTTTATCCTTCCTTACCTTTCAGTTGCTAGTGGTAGCATAGGTAGCTCCTTCCCCTTTGATAGTATATCCTCAAACAACTGTATGAGGATGAATTAAAGTAAAGAACAAGTTGGAACAGCCTTTTAGATAAACACTCTCTTTTCATTTATATCTTTAATGGAAAATGGTAGTGCAAAACCTTGAGGAGGAAACTGGAAGAGGGGATGGTGTTCACTGAGTATGAGCAGATTCCAAAGAAGAAGACAGACGGAATTTTTACCACTGCCACTCTCCCTGAAAACGTTGAGCGTAATCGTGTCAGAGAAGTCATTCCATACGAAGAGAATCGAGTGGAGCTGGTACCCACCAAAGAAAACAATACGGGCTATATCAATGCATCACACATAAAGGTAATGATAGGGAAAACGAGCTGTGTACGATGAAACGAATTGTGGCTAAAAGAAGTTGACATGAACTTGGGTGAGCAAAGTGCTCAGACCTTGCTGGTTGGTTACAAAGGCAACCTCTTGGCCTCAGTAGCTAACAAGTAACCCACCCCATTGTCACTAGGTTGCAATTGTCATCCAGGATTTATGACACCTGAAAACGAATATAGAAAAAAAATCAAAATTTAAACCTATCCCTTTGAAGAGTAATCACATGGTTTCATTTGGGGCCCACACGTAGATACTCAAGATCATACTATAGAGTTGTTTAAAAAAGACTTGACCAAGTCAATATACTGTCCACAGTATTTTGTACATATTGTACAAAATATGTATGGTGTGGAATAAAACCTGCAAATAATACATGTTTTTTTTTTTAAAAAAAAGATCGTACTATTAAAATCAGCAAAATGTAATTTTAAGCAAATCAGGCAAATGATTTTGTTGCTATATCCCTACTTTATGTGGGGGAAGACAGTGATTGCTTCAGGGCAGTGAATGAGCCTGTGGCAGGGAAAATTCCAGAATCAGTGATGTTATCTGGATTGTATTTCATTGAATATCTAAGAGTACACTAGTACAGAGAGGGTTTTTAATGTAAATTCATATCATTAGTTGGAATAGGCCTAAAATGTATGCTATAGATTCAGGCTTTTTGAAGACTTCTGCCTTGTGCTCTTAAAAGTTTGAGGTTTAGTGGATGGTTGCTTCCAATCTGATTGACTCCATGATGGTCTTTTCCTAGAGTTTCTCTTCTGCAACCTATTCTGGTTGTTGTTGTTGCCAAACGGAGAACCTTTTTATTTCTTCAGACTCCAATGTAGTGATGCTGCATTGGAGTCTGCAGTGATCCAATGCTTTGATTTTATTTCTGTTGTTTTCTTTTCTGCTATTAAAAGGCCTTATTTATTGCACTGGCAAACTCCGCTTTAAGACTATTTTCATGTTCTTATTTGATCTCAATTTTAACATTTTATGTGAGCTGCCAATGCACCTGTGTATAGAAATCCATGGATTGAGGAAATAACTGGCATCTTCAGTTGATTTTAGATTACAATCCAAATCATCCTTCTATCCTGACTTGGCTTTATTCTTGCTTTTGTTCTGCAATCTGAATCTGAAACAGCTGAACATATGCAAAAGAAGTTGATTTAAAGGCAGTGTTTATGGCTTTTCTTACCCTACTGTATTTTCAAAACAACCCTGCACGAAACCTAAGAGTATGGCTAGGGCAACATTTTCAAAGCGAACCTCTTGGCCTTATTGTATAACTGATAGTGACACTGAAAATCATTTCTAGAATAAAAGAGTTTAGAAGAAAATCATTCCATATTTCTATCTAGTGGTTTGTTGTCTTGCTATGTTTTTTTTTTTAAAATGAATACATCTATTTATAATGATAACTTTTCATTTTGGTCCAAATAATTTTTAGTTCTAACTATACTTCCTGAAAGACATTTCTCTTGAGTTCCAAGAGCTGTTTGATCATAATTTGCAATACTAAAACCCCTTGTTGAGTTAAAAGCCTTCTAAATCAGAATCCTATCAGATTTCTGCCAAAAGACCTGGTGGCAAGAAGATATTGGGTACTTTTGGCACAATCTGCCTTAGCTTGGATGACTGATTACTGAATGGAACATTTTTCATCCATCTATGGGAGGAGAAATTGTTTGGGAAGGCATAATTTCACCCCATCAGGTGGCAAGGGCCAAGAAGAATTCTCCCTAGCCAGTTTTAAAACCTCATATTTCATCTGGTATATCAGTATTGGACATGCACACATTGTTCTGTAGCACATGTCGGGGCATGTGCTGATCTGTAGTCATATACAACTCTGTGTGTTGCCAGTACATTTCTTTCCTGCACTCCAAGTGGCTGAGGCAGAAGCCAAGCAGATGTTCTTTTACTCAGAAGGTGAAACTCCATCTGCAATTTTTTTTTTTTTTTGCTTCATTTACACAGCAAGTGATTTTCTCCCAGTTACCAATATCTAATATAGCTGCAGTCAGGATAATATTATTCCTCCATCTTCCTATTTCACTCTTGACTGTTTATGGATTTTTATTCCAGCCTTGTTCCAAGTAGTTGAAAATGGGCCTTTGAATTGTAACCAAAGCTGAATTCCCTTAATAGTCTGATAAGAGTTATTCTACTCCTCTGCCAGTCTTGGTTAGGTTGTCTGCCTTTTTTATACTTTAATATAAAGTCCAGGTTGCTGAAATTACAAACATTCTATCCATATGTTCTAAATCAGTGTTTCTCAACCTTGATAGCTTAAAGATGGGTAGCTTGAAGATGGGGATTCTGGGAGTTGAAGTCCACCCATCTTCAAGCTTCCAAGGTTGAGAAACACTGTTCTAAATAATCTCAGTTGTCAGCATGTTTACTTTTTTTTTTTAAACCACCATCAATGTACCATCTTTGAGCTCTCCCTTTTTAAAGATTGACTAAGACATACAAGCGCTGAATTTTTCATCTCTGGGAAATAAACATACGTTATCAGATGGAACAAAGGCCACTGGAAACTCCATGCAGATCAGGGGTGGTATTCACTTACCTTCGCTACCTGTTCGCAAATGGAAGTGTGCTCGCTTTGCTTGCGCGTATCACCTCTGCGCATGTGCAGGACCTTCTGCACATGCGCAAAGCATCAAAAACGGAATGTGATGATGTCCGGGCGGGTGGGCGGAGCCGCTGCTACCGGTTCGCCTGAACAAGACAGAAACGGCTGAATAGCACCACTGATAAAGATGCAATTATAGATGCAGAGTAGAGTCATAGAATGGCACTACAAGTGACATAAGCAGACCATTTTTTTTTAATCAGAATATTTATCTTGAAAAAATATTAGAATGGGGAGAGATGACAAGGAGACAATATTTCACAGGAGAATCAGAAATAAGAAGTGGCTTCATTTCTAGACAGACACTTTTCTTCTGGCCCTAGGTTATATTTTGTTGGTTTTGCTTTCAAATGTATATTTCCATCAAAGCTAGGCTAAGAGTATTCCAATTACTTAAATATTACTAATACATAGAACTTCTACTTTGAATTAATAGATAGAAACGTACACTTGATTTGGTGTCCAGCCTTAAGAAGAGCAAAGATGGGTCGATCAGTTCAGCATGTTATAAGTACCCATAGGAGAATTGAAAGTAATTCCTCTCTCTCTTTTCTCTAGGTGACAGTAGGTGGAGAAGAATGGCACTATATAGCTACACAAGGACCTTTGCCTCAAACATGCCATGATTTCTGGCAAATGGTGTGGGAGGAAGGAGTCAATGTGATAGCCATGGTGACAGCAGAAGAGGTATGTAACAGGACAGGAAACATCTGCAGTGGAACACAAACAAAAGCTTCCCAGCCAGGAAAAAAGTTTCCAAGGGAGGTGGACTCTACTGCATTTGAGATCAGGCTGAGCCGTGGCTTAAGTGAGGTGTTAAAAGCTCTGGCCATTTCCCAGGCTCATGTGCTCTCCTCTCTTCCTCTCATGAAGCCAAGAAGAAAAGTTAGGAAAAGGTGAACTGTGAGATCCATGCCTTAGGCATGTTTTCCTTCCTCCATCCAGAGATGTCCCAAGGAGTTACAAAAGTGTCATTTTGAATGTGACAGAAGGAAGACCATTTTAAATACATGCTGCAGAGAAACCACAATCATTACACAAAGAGCAGTTAAGGTATCAACAGTATGAAACAATAAGCCATTGAGCAACATGGCTAAATATGGAAATGAACCCAGGATATGTTATTTCTAAGTCAGCACTAATTATTACCCAATAGAGATTTCAAAAGAATCCTAGTAACGCTGGGGCTGAGCGAGAGCAATTTATATCTTGTTCAGTATTATCATTATGTAGAATATTTTAGTATGGTGAACCTCTGCTTCTGGAGAGAAAGGGGGATATAAAATAAAAAGAAAAACTACAGCCTTGCGATTAGCTATGCTAGTGTAGACTAATCGGGGTTGCAAAAGAAACCAACTGGCTCACTGATAACTCAGAAGATGATCTTTAATTCATTCACTTGAGCTGACCACTGGCCACATTGATTTTAATACATACACACACACACACACACACACACACACACACACACACACACACACAGAGAGAGAGAGAGAGAGATGTCTGTCTCTCTGTCTATCTACACATATACACACAACACACAAATTATAGGCTTCCATTGACTTTGGGCAGCTTACAATTAAAAAATACAAAGGAAAAATACAAAGGACAAAAAGAAATCATGAACAGAAACTGCATAAAACCAAACCAACCAACCCCCCTAAAAACCAAAACTATTAATCAGGGTTCAACTTTTAATCAAGGCCAGATCTTTAGTAGCTTCCTGAACAACGTTGGGCTGGGAGCCATCCCAGCAGATAACAGGAAAAAAGGCAGATTTCTGAATTCCACAAGATCACACTGCTTGATCAACGAAACAAACATTGACCAGAAGTGTGCCTACTGTACCCAATCTTTAAAAAAAATAATTAAGAATTTTAATTTCAATGCTAAAAACTAAATACAAATTAAACTTGGCCAAAGAGAAGATTCTGTCCAATCTCATAGGACAGGCAAAAACAACCCTAAAGCAAATAACTAGGCTCTATGCCATGAATTTAATTCCTTTTCTTCTTCTTTTTTCAAATCTTGGAACACGTCTTCCTCTGTGGATTTGTTCTCTCTCTTTTGATCAGCTTGCCCTCTGTTATAGAAAGAACTGTTCTGCGGCAGGCCCGGGTTTTATCCTGCATACCGTTGAGGGAGGGGTGCCTAAATGGTTATGCGTGTGTGGTTTTTGTGCTGTAGGAAGGTCTCTCTGAAATAACGTGCTTGTCTTTGCTGGCCCTTTACTCTTCGGTTTTGTTTTGTTTTAAATCCTTTGAACTTCTGCCTGGGATGACTCAACCATTACAACCTTGTTTGTAACATTCTAGCTCCATTAGAAGATTGCAGCATGCCAAACAAAGCAAACAGAATTCCAGTGAATTCTGAGAATACAAAGCCGCTCTTATTTGAAAAGAATGACATTCTCGGCTCATCCAAGGCCACCTCTGCGTACTAGAATCCTTATCAGCTGCAAGGAGCCCAGAAGCTGTTGTTCCTGTATAAAAGTATCAAGTGGGGGTGGAAAAATAATCTGCTGTTCCATGCCAAGCAAAACAGATAATCCCCAAACTGTACGTTGCATTGTAAAACTGGCACGCACCAGCAACCAGCAGTCTGAATCCAGTTCAGATGCATGGATTTTACAGGCACAGAGGGTCAGCTGTTCTCTTCCCGATCATTCCCATTTTAAACATTTACAGCTATCAACTGTTCAGAAGGGGGAGCAAGAGTCCATTAAATGCACCGTTACAGAATAATTGGGCCATGGAAAAAGTTGCTTTCTAAGCAGCCACAGAGAACAGGACAATCTTAGGAATCAGACTGTGATTATATGTATATACGCTGTTGCGACCTTTTTAATGAGGCAGGGAATCTTTGGAATCCCAAGATAGTAGAAATGTCTACATAATAATTGCAATGGGAATTCATACTATGCTGAAATTTGTTTTTTCTTTAAATGAACACAAGTTACAATGTAGACCTATGAATTCATGATAGAAAGTCTTTAACAACACACTTTGTTTGTGGCTACTGTATATTACAGAATCTAAACATATAGAAGTGTAATCTTAAGGGTACGGAGCAATCTCGGAGCATTTGATTCATTCTCTCAGTATCCTTATACCTGTCTCTTAATTTCCTGGGCTCCTCCTGCAAAACACTCCAGATATTTCTGACAGCCTTCTGAATGGACTTCTTAAGGAAGTCTTTTAGGAACAAAAGGAAAGGTTGACCTTTCATACCTTATTTTATTCTTCTTTTAGCAGTAGGTGGAGGAGATGACACCCAAACGGGATCAGTTTGCATTGTGGTCTTTTCAGTTTTTGAATACCTTGTAGGTTCATGACATAAAGCACGCTTGATCTACAGTTCTTGATTTACCCTATAAAGCTATTTTATCTAGTTTTTTGTTGGATTTTTTTTTAGAGTTGTTTCTTAGTGTAATCTTTCTTCAGTGTAAACTCTATTGGCAGTTGGAACAAACTTGTAAGGATTACTGTTCTGGAAATCATTTTACTAATTTGTATTTTGGTAATATTTGCAGAGAGGCTTCTCTTCTCCAATGGTAGCATAGAAACACTGTGTGCGTGCGTGTGTGCATGTGCAGTGTGTACATAGTGTTTGTTTGTTTAAAACATTTATATAGCCATCTATCTTTCAGCCAACTCTGGGCGGCTCTCAATCAAAAATTTAAAGATATATCAAATTATTTTAAAAACGCTAAAACACAACCAGTTAAAACATAAAGCATCATGTCCCTTGTCTATCAGTTCATATCTGCATCTACCAATCTGATCCTTCTCTTCCAACCTACTGAAATTCTGTGACTTTGCTTCTTCTAATGCTAACGCAAACTGAATCCTGGAAAGGGAGGAATAATTGTAGTGATAATGCATTGGGTTAAATCTGTCCCTCCTCTCCTAGCCCACTCTGTTGCTTGCATAGAGTTCCATGGAACCCTAGTCACCTCTGACTGTTTATGTGCTATCAAGTCAGTATTAACTCTCAGCGACTACACAGATTGAGTTTTTCCATCCTTGTTGGTCTTTCAGGTTTTCCAATGGTGCACTCAGTGCCATTGTCCATCCAGGTTCCTGCTGGTTGTTCTCTTCTGCTCTTTCCTCCCACCTTTCCCTTTCCCAGTATTAGAGCCTTTTCTAGAGAGATGGTCTTAGCATAATGTGTTGGAAGTGGGATAATTTGAGTCTGTTTATTTGTGTCTTGAGTCAGATCTCTTGAGTTGAGTTGTCCATTCATTTATTTGTTTGTTAACTTGGCTATCTATATTATTATCGGGAGTCTTTTCCAATTCCTGAAGTTCAAAAGCATTCATACTTTTTCTGTCTTGCTTCTTCAAAGTTCACATTTCTGATTATCAGACAAGTTATTGAATACAGAGTCTATTGTGTATAGAGGGGCACATGTTAATAGTCTTGTGCCGGAGCACATGTGTTTTATAGATCTTGGATGCTGCAAAATTAGTTGTCAGGGGTTAGGGTTAATCATTCATTCATTCATTCAATTAATCAATCAATCAATTATTCAATTTCTATTTAATTCAGTTTCTATTTCAACCTGAATGTCTTCTCAGAGATCATGCCAAATATAAACACAAGATTTGTATTTTAGTAATTATATCCGATAAAGGTAGAATTTGTGACTGTGTATGCCAATTTAAAAATATTATAGGTTAGTCAACGGTGAGACAAAAGTAATGGTGGTATATGCAGCATTGAACGGCTGTTTAACACACTGATTTATCCTATCCTTTCTCCAAAGAAGTCTGAACAGCAGATGGAGTTTTCCCCATAGCTCATGTTACTTGCATTACAAGGCTGTAAGCTAAAAAATAATAATAATCCACAACTATCCAGTGAATTGAATGGGGAGTTGAATCCAGGTGATTCTAATCTTATTCTGACATTGCAACACATATCATGCCAACCTAATACTTGATCGGTTCTTTTGTTTCAGGGATTGTTGCTAATTTTGTTTCTGTTTCCTTTGGGGATGGGGTAGGAAAGAGGAAGAACCAAAAGCCATCGTTATTGGCCCAAACTTGGCTCAAAACATAACTCAGCCACTTATGGGAAATTCAAAGTGACCACCAAATTCCGGACTGTTTCTGGTTGCTATGCTACAACGGGCCTGAAGGTCAAGCACCTATTGTTAGGACAGGAGAAGACTGTGTGGCATTTACAGTACACCAACTGGCCGGATCATGCTTGTCCAGGAGAGCAAGACTTCCTTTGTAAGCTTTCCTACATGTGAATGTAATGGCAACTGTGTTTATTGGAGCTAGGGGCAGGGGGAGGGGGGAGGGAGAGCAGAAAAAGAGGACTGTTAAGAAATGTTTATGAAGAAAGATAACAAATAGATGACCATTGCATTTTCTTGATGAAATGAATCCTATTATTTTACAAAAATAAATGCAATAACCTAACAGAATTCATTTTGTTGAGAAAACAATGATGAATGAATTCTGCATATGAATATTGAATATTCTACAATGACCGTAGAATACCTAAATAGTATTCTTATGTGCTTGTCATGATTTCCCAAGGTTTTGCCTGGATTCTCTTATGTCAATGTTTTGCAAACTCAGTAACTATAAGATATGTGGTTTTCAACTCTCAGAATTCCCCAGCCAGCATGCAACTCCATTTTTGGTTGTTGAAGTTCATACATCTTAAAGCTGTCAAGTCTGAAAAATACTGTCTTAGATTAACTTCAGGATCAGAGGGAAAACACACATAATAAGGCTCAGCAGCTGCTTTTCTAATCTGATTCTCCCAAAGAGAGGAACTCAGATTCTACACTTCAACATTTAGAATACATAGTTGAATTGATAATGTCACTTTAAAGAACTTATCTTACTCAGAAGTGCTGACCATACACAGAAGTGGTTAACTTCTCAGAATCTGTAGCAAAAGATTCCACACTGACTGTGTAATGTGCAGAGTTATTATGAAGTTGTTCTCTTGAGAGCAGTTGCCAGGGATTGCATACAGTGGCATTTGATGGGCTGATGATCAGATTGCTCTGAAATACTTTACTGTCTACACTATAACATTTTAAGAACCTATTTGGATACAGAAGACTCCCCACTAGAGAGCTTTGCCTCCAAAATCTGTAAAGTAGCTGAAACAATTACATGAAGGACATAACATCCTTCCTCTCTTCCCCTTCTGCATTCAGCAGCTCTTAAAGCTGAATCCTTGAGTAGGACTAAGCAGTCTTGTGCCTTGTTTAGCATCACAGATCATTGTTGTTAAAGATTCTGTCTTTAACAACTATGGTACAGCTAAAGGCAAACCTGCTGTTTGCTTGTTTTGCTATTCAGACTTTTCACTAGGCCTAAAAACGATACCTGGAAGACAAGAGTAGGGCAGAAATACTTGAAATTCAGTCACAATTTGCAAGGTAAGGAAAGGGCCAGATGGATGGCCCCTTCCCATTAGATAGTGCTCCAGCAGGCATGTTTCTGGGGAAACTTGCTGTTGTTCTGATCCCAGCCTGTTAATCGCAGGAATTGCTGTAAGTAATGTCTACAGTCATCTGCTTCAGGGACCTTGGGATTTGCAAAGGGTGGAAGAGTATATGTGTGGGTATTTTTTTAAATAGCTGATTAATTTAAAGTCCCAAGTAGTAATCGACACCCTGCTGGCACTTACTGCATTCAGTGCAGTTTGCTGTCTAGAGGCCAAATAATTAGTGTTTCCTAGGAACTGTAAATGATCATAATTTAAAAGGAAACTTGCTCCCCTCAACTTACTTGCTATAGTTTATGTAAAACTGCAATAGATTTGGGAAATGTACTTTTTTTTTTGTTTATTCTTACCTTGCAGCCTATTTGGAAGAGATCCAGTCAGTGCGCCGTCATACCAACAGCATTCTGGACAGCACTAATAATTGCAACCCTCCAATTGTTGTGCACTGTAGTGCTGGAGTAGGGAGGACAGGTGTGGTTATTTTGGCAGAGCTTATGATTGGCTGCTTGGAACACAATGAGGTAAGTGAAAGGGTCTTCCTGAAGTTATACATTTCTTCCTGAGAAGAGGTGCAATCCAGGGAGTGCCACTGCAGGGTGAAGTATAAATGTATGCAGGAAAAGGTCCACCAATACTAAAGGAGTCATCGTATTACACTGTGCCACAAAAGCAACACTCTTGTAGGTCCTTAAAACTAACAAATGTGAATTATGTAAGCAGATAGGATAATTTGAATACATTTCTTATTGTGGCAGGAGCCTCAGTCAGCAATCAACATAGTTTATACACACTGGACTATGCATCTGCAAACTCACACAGAGACATGAAAAAGAAATGAAGCTTAATGCCAATGGAATGCAAAAAAAAGGGGGGGGGAGATATTTGCAAAGCTCAAGATAAGTAAATTGACCGTTCAGAACAACAGCCATTGGTAATGATCCAGCCATCCCAGTAAAGTATGCTAATTAACATCTGTAGTGGAACAGAAAACAAATGTCTCCACTCAAATCTAAATGGAGGGAAACTTCTTAATTAGTTCTAGTTCAGCAATTTCATGGTGGAGTCTCCAAATCCCAGCTTGAGGAAAAGAGACAAATCTCCTTCTCTCCATGAATAATTTTGCATGTCCCATCCCCCACTTGCTTTTTTTCAAGATTAAAAAAAAAAAAGATTTGAAAGCACACTGTCCAATATTTGTCCCTGTCTTCTCAAGTGGTTTTGAAGCTTGGCTTAGAAAACAAGGATATTGTCAAAGATTTGTTTTTGCAGCAAGTACAAAAATTAAGACTGAAAGTCAAACACTCAGCTATTAAGAGTTGGGTTGAGCCCTGCAAGTCCAAACTAGCCTGCATTTTTTTTCTTGCTTAGATTGAACTATGTTCTAACTAGCTTAGCAAAGGAATTTAGGCTGCTGTTGATCAAATTCCACACAGCAGCATTCTTTGGTAAGGTTTGAAAGTTAACAAAGTTGAGAAGAAGAAAACTGAGATCCTTATCTGTACTTGTTTAAAACAGAGAGAGCAATCTGATGGTTCAAATAAAATGTGTTTTATAGGACCTGGTAGAGGAAGGGTACTCAACTGAAAGTCCCAAGGCAACATTACCTCTAATAGTTTTCTATATTTTCTAGAGCCCCTCTGAACTGTAATACTTAAATTATAGTGACAAAAAACTGAAATTTTAAACTTCATTGGGAGCAATAGTACTGAGTGGCACAGTGACCTAGTGGTGAAGACGCTCACATCCCATTCGGAAGGTTGAGCATTCAATCTGGGTAGCAGCAAATGTTTCTCTTCTAGGGTGCAAAAAAAAAATCTGTTTAATCCTCTAATCTATAGAGAAGGAGAAGAATGTTGTCCAGTTTAATTTTAGGTTGATACTTCCCAAGTTGGTATGCAAACCTTAGTTGTTCTTCTGTATTTATATTTATCCTACTGTTGTGATTCCCAGAAAAAAAGAAAGCTACTAACTGATACAGCAATGGGATTTAATGGTGCAGAATAAGAATTAAAAAGAGAGATTTGAAGAAAGCAAATGCAACAGTTGTATGATTCCTACATTGCTTTGTTTAGTTCTACAATGATAATATTGCTATGAATTTTCTCTTCCTCTTTGCAGAAAGTAGACGTTCCAGTGATGCTTCAACACCTGAGGGAACAGAGAATGTTCATGATCCAAACTATCGCACAGTATAAATTTGTCTACCATGTCCTCATCTTATTTCTACAAAATTCCAGGCTTATTTAACATCTTCAAAAGAGACACTGCATCTTTTCATTCACTTATTTAGACAGCCTTTTTTGGTTTGGCTGAGAATCACCCTACTACAAAGCTGCTTGCTTTGCAGTATTTTGTGACGCCTGATCAAAATTGCTTCAATGATAAGGACACTTTGTTCTTCTTGCAGATGATTTTATATGAGATAATTTATTTTTTTTAATGATGTGTGAACTTTCTTAATTGGTGGAACATAGGGTAACTTTAAAATGACAGAACCACATTTGACACATCTCTTCATTGTAATCTGTCTTTAGGACAGGAAATAATCCTATCTGGAGATGTTCTCTTGACCATTGCATTTCTATATGACATGCAAGGCAGCTTTGCTATTTTATTGTATTCTGTTTTATTTTTGTGAAAAGAGTATTTAGCAATCTGTTTTCAGGGCTGTGCATATAGAAGAAAAACCAGCTTAAAAAAGTATTTGACTTTTGTTCAAATTTAAAAGCAGATGTATGTCTATAATATTATTGAAAAGGAACAAGCTTTTGCCATCTATGATACATGCAGTGCCTTACAGAATAGCAGTGGGATTTCCAATAAGCTCAAGATTTCAAGGGTTCAGTACTATGATTATACTGGTAGTACCTTGATGATGGATAGTAGCAATATTTAAAGCTATAAAATAGCTGAAATACTGGAATGAGAAGTATTTCTAAGAAGTTTTTAAGGGTCCGAGCAAGATCTAATCAATCCTAAATCCTACAGTTGATGCTGTATCTTGAGTCTAGAAATTGCCCTGCAAGTGATGTGAAATATCCAGATCGGGCATTTTTCACGTCACATTATTCTTTGAATCATACAGAGTAAATCTGAAGATCTTTTCTATTGGTGGCCATATTTTGGTAGAACATTCTGTTGGTGCATGCTGATAGTGGCAGAGTCACCCTTTCTGTGACTTCTTCTCTGTTCTCGCTCTTTCTAAGGGAGAGGTATATATGGAGAATGGTTGTGTAGCTCTTTTTAGAAATCTTACTAGGTTAACATGCAAATAGCTCTTGAGGTTAATTTAGTGTCCGTTACCATAAACCAATAACTACTTGTAGTCTAGGACAGCAAGCATAAGGACATGACAGTTGAAAGTGTTTTAAAAACCATCCATTTAAATGAATAGGAAATGCTAACTCTTACTGATTTAGTATTGTTTGCAAAAGAGAATCTTCTAGTGGTTTGATTATCTGCCCTTAGTGTCTTCAGGCTCTAAAACCCCCTGTAGGGTTTGTGTCTGCGGGCTCTGTTGTGTGGCTGCAATGCATTCCTTGGATTCGCAAATAATTTTTAATCATCTCCACATAATATAATAATTATGTTAAATTAGACTTTTTGTTTATTGCCCTTGAAAAATCAGGTGATGGACAGATTGTCATGGACAAAATCTATGTTGTCACTAGGAATTGACAGTGACTTGATGGTACATAATCATTGCTCCATTTATCTCAGCAGTGTCCACTCTGATTTGCCGTCGCTCTCCAAGGTCCTGATTCAAATTATTTCCCCCTCCCACTGAACAATATGATTTGCCCATCAAAACATCCATCTGACATTGAGTTATTATAACCAGTTTTAATATTGCTTTTATACATAATAATCCTGTGTTGCTTTTAAAAAATACTTATGATTCCTCCCCCCTAGCCCCCCAATTTCTAAATTAGACAATAGTATTAAAGCTGATATGCTTAGGACGGGTTACAGACTTTGTGGAAATGAGCCAGATTCAAGATTTTTAACCAACCCAAAGTGTAAGAAGGAATAGGGATTTTTTAAAAAGAGATGAAGATATTTTTGTGACTAAACTATAGATGAAAATTGAATATACATAAAAAGAATGATATCAAAGCAACAGTCACACTTTCTACAGCATGCTTTCTTTTAGATGAACACCCAAAGTGGCATGGCAGTCAGTTTCTTGAACAGAAGAGGTATTCCCATTGTATATCCGATGGGGTAAATACCTCTTAACATAATGTTTGCCCCCAGTGTTTTATCTATATTTATATTATACAGGTAATCCTTGATTTACAACCACAATTGGGTCCAACATTTCCATTGCTAAGCAAGGCAGTTGTTCAGTGAGTTGTGTCTTATTTTAAACCTTTTTTGCGATAATTGCTTAGTGAATCATTGTTATTGTTAAGCAAATCATGTAGTTATTAAATTAATCTGGCTTTCCCCCATTGCTTGTTGGAAGCCAGCTGGGAAGTTTAAAAATGGTGATCATATGACCCAAAGAACAGTGCAACTGTCATAAATATCTGCCAGTTGCCAAGCGCCCAGATTTTGATCACATGACTATGGGGATGCTACAGCAGTTGTAAGTGTGAAAAACAGTCATAAGTCATTTTTTTCAGTGCCATTGTAACTTGAGATGGTCACTAAATGAAGGTTGAGGGAAGAGGGAGTTTCCTTCGTACCCACAAGAAATCTTAAGTCCAGCCCTCCTTGAATTCTGTTGACTCTTATCTACTTCCAATTTGCTTTGCCCATTAGTAGTTCAGATTCTTGTAAAGAGCATTAGCATGCAGTCATTTGAACCACCTTGACTCCTGATTTCTTGCACCTGACATGAATGGCTATAAGTCGAGGATTACTTGTACTATATTTTACATAGTATAATATATACTTCTATTTTTTTAAAAAAAATCTGCAAGGTTTCTTTGTAGGGATTAAACCTGCAGTCTTGTCTATATGTTCCAGGGAGCAAGTCCCATTGAACTCAGAAGGATTTACTTCTAAGTATATATGGATAGGCTTAACTTATTTCACTGCCTTCACATGTTAAATCTAAATCACTGATCAATTCACTCCAATCTTACCAAGAAAAAAAAAAGAATTCAAGCCACCTTAAATATTTAGGAAAAGAATATATAGAGAATATCTTCTGTTGATGCTCCTTTAGAGACTCTTATTTCTTTAGTGTGCAGTTTTCAGTCCAGCATATCTTTGCCAATGCCAACATATCTCTTGTTAAATTAGCTGAAACCATTTAAAGTCTTTTAGTGGCATCTGCATGATAATTGAACAGAGACGCTTTGTATCTGGGATGCTGGCCAAGGAATAAACCTTGAAGCAAAGTGTATTAAATTAGTTATCTCATTATAGTTTTTTGAATAATTTCCTAATGATGAATTAAGTTTGAAACCAGAGCTGTCAAGTCCCATTGCTCTATTTGGCCTGACAGGTAGGGAGTTAGAAAGAGAAAATAATCCCCTCCAAGGTCTGATTGCTCTGAGATTTAGGATGTGATCAGTATAGTCTTGGCTGTTCTAGAAGTATGTAAACCAAAAGAAGTTATTTAATAAGCAGACATAATGGATACTAAAAAAGGAAGTGTTGATGAGACATTGCCAAGGCGTTTTGTCACAATGTATACCTATCTTGCACACATAATTGCAAGGGAAAACTTCCTGCAGTTAAACACCAATGCCCAAGACCAAGCCACTAATACTGATATAATAAAGAACCATTACTAATATAATAAGGAACCATTTTCACACTATGACTAAGGAGGATGGTATTCAAAGAAACATTTTAAGACTATTAAGGCACATATTATTTTAGTGTGATTTTCATACTAATGTTTGACCTTAATAAGCTTAATTTTAAAAAGTTTTGCTCAAATTTTAATGACCCTCAGCATCAGAACTTTATTTTGTTAATATTTGAAGAATCTAATGTTAATTATCATGCTGTAAAGACAAAACTTAACTGATTGTATTAATGATCTTAATGATTTCAAGAAAAGTTCAAGAATGAATTTACTTCAAGGAATATATCAAAGGATAATTTGAAAAAAAAAGCAACTGTTAATCTCAGAATATCATAATGTTTCAGGGGATGATGTGATCGCCTCTATTCTTGTACTGCACAGATGTCAAACTCATGGCGTCACATTGCTGTCATTATATTTCATGACGTTTTCCCCATTCACAGAGCTGGGGTGGACGTGGCCTGCGCTTGACACATCTGGCCTGCGGGCCGCCACTTTAACACCCCTGCTGTATTGGATAGTATAGAGAGATGAATGGAACTTCAATTGCAAGCGGCCTTTAGAGTAAGAGACTTGTACTCAAATGTATTAGTGAACATCAAGTTGAAGTATCGTCTTATATTCCCTTTCCTAGAATTTACATAGATCTATTACGCACCCCAGTTCTAAAATTTCACATCAGCAGATGTATGGCCTGTGGAACCAAAATTCTGGTTTAAATTAAGTTAGTTAATTTCAGAAAAAGCTAAGTAAAATTATAATGTTCCTCTTGTGGGTTAATCTAAACAATAATGAACTAGAGAATTGTATAAAAAAATCAAGTCAATATTGATATATCATCGCAAGCAAATTAATGTTGTGCAGAATGACAGTATCTGACAATGTATCATGAAAGATGTGTTGAATGGAAGCAATTGGTTTGGTAGTGCTAACTCCTTAGATAGTTTCGCTCTAACCTAGCATGATTCACCTTTTAAATCATTCTTGTTAAAATTATTACAATATATTCTATACATGGCAGAATTCTTACGGATAGGTAACTTGTGTCAGGAAGTGTATTACTGTGTAATGCAGGTTGAAGCCTCCTTGATTTCCAGATAGTTATAAAGGATCTGGACCAGTATATCTAGAATGTCTTTTCTTTAGAGTAGAGGTTTCAACCCTGCTTTATAGAAATTGCCCTGAACTTTTAAGCTTTTTGCATACCTGCATACTGCTGCATAATCCTGCACAGTGGAACAGTAAATAATTGTCGAATTCTTGTGAGATTTCAGGGAGGAATTGTTTGAGTAGTTAATGAGACCTTGTGTCAGATTAGTTAGATCTTATGCTAAATTAATTACATCTTGCAAGATTTCAATGAATCCCCAATATTCATGCCAAATATTTCTTTACTATATCTTTAGTAAGCCTGCCTGCTGCATTGCCTACTCATGTTTAAAAGCCTTATTTCTAAAAAAGTCTACCAAATGTCATACTGTGGAGAATTTCCTGAGAAGGAACATTTTCTATTGAAGTGCCAAGATTTCACAACTCCAGGATAGAAGTAGCTTACTCTTTTCAATTTATACTAGGGGTATTCCTTAAAGTAACAAACAATAAATCAACCTTGCAGTCATTTGTTACTTATACATTTTTATTTGCTAACTCGTGACCTTTTTTGATGTGTAAAATTGGAAATGTATTTCAGGATGCTAGTGTTTCCCATACTTCATTGCTTCCTTCCCCCACCCCCACCCCCCTTCAAGTAGTTTTTTACTCCTGGTGATCTGGACAAATCCCTGCCATTTCCTTGGCAAGATTTTCAGAAGGTGTTTGCCCTTGCCTGCTTCCTAGGGCTGAGAGAAAGTGGGACTAGAACTTAATGTCTCCCAGTTTTAAGCCCGATGCCTTAACCACTACACCAAATGGCTTTCTCTTAAGTTTGTTGTATTTAATAAAGCAATTTAGTACATTTTGAATTATCTTTGCAGATCTCTTGATCAAAAGATAAAATTCTTCCCATGAACACCCGTTGCCTTGTCACAGATCGCTTCTGCCATTAGCATTACTACTCAAAGTTGCCACCAAACGGGCATTACTAACTTGTAAATCCAAAACACTAAAATAAGGACAGTAGTTACTGAAGATACACACCTTTTAATCTGATTGTACTCCTAAAATCACTCATGAGGGATATACGTATAAAACCATGCTATTTAGTTTTTATGTTGTAGATAAAATTTCTTGTATCCTTTCTAGATTCTGATGACTAGTTATTGATAGTGATATTGGTTGCTTTAATATAATTCCTTCTGGGCTTTCACATTTTGGCAGCAAATTTCTACATTCATATTGTTTTTCCAAATCTAACTTAAATATTACCTATACCCATAAAGCCTATCCTACAACAGTTCAATTCTTAAATAATACCAGAAATCATTAACTAAAAAGCCACTTAAAACTTCCCATTACCTTGAAACCTGAAGTTCCTCCATATACTATAAGCACAGTAAACAGTGATTGAATACATGACTTCAAATCAAGTGGTGAATCTGTTTTTAAATCAATACTATATTTACACTGTCCAATATGTTTCAGACGTTCATGGAATAGAGCCTATATTTTAGAAAAAGGGCTACACATATGTACAATTATGTATCTACATATATTTAATGGTTGGAGTTACAATGCATTTTGCTTAGACAATACTGGATGGGGCTTCCTCATCTGAACTCCATTGGGCATCATATTTTCAGATCATTTAACCCATTCATATGTTGATGTAGATACTTTTTAGAATGCCTTCTCATGATATATTCCATTGTAGCACCGAAGTGTAAAAAGAAACATATATCCAAACTTTGTCTTCAGATCATTGCTTATACATTTGTAGATGCTCTGACCTTGCACTGAATTCTTTCAGCTTTTTTTTAGTGTTGGCTGTGTACAATACAATGAAATTGATATTGATTGTTAAGTAATTAGGATATAATATTCCATAGTAAGGGAAATATTTTAACTCACATTACAGCTTTGCACCTTTGTTAGGCTTATACACCATATGTGAATTTGTGATTAGTCTCTAATTCAGTTATTCTATTTGTTTTTATAACATCATTCTCTGTTTCTTTAGCAAAACAAGACAAAGGTCTCCTGTAATCCAAAGCATGGTTTCAGCTAGGAAAGATTTCATCCACAAGTTAATTTAATGTAGGAAGTTCTGTCAAAGAATTATTGACAATGGTTCCCGCTTATGTACATTTGTAAAGAATGACCCTATAATCATTGATATATTTGAAGTCATTTTTATTTAGTGAAATGCCCCCCAAAATTGAAATTATAAGTCTAGACTATTACTTTAGCCATACTTAGATATATCACCATTAAGTATTTGAAACATAATTCACTTTATGGATTAACACCTTACAGTTAATAAACCACATTGAGTTACAGCTTTAGACTTCATATCACAGGACAAAGAGGGACCACATGCAGTTCCAGGGTTGCCAACAATTTCTTGCTTTATCTCCTGTCCCCCCCTTCTGAGCAGTACTGCTAAAATTGGCATAAATCTCATATTTGGGAAAGTGTAAAGCAAATTGTATGAATGACTTTTTTAAAAAAAAGACCCTTCTAAAAGATGAGAAAGACACTCTAAACCTCTGAAACATGTTGAGAGGTATTCCTAGCTGCTAAAAGATAACACAGTCCTCTGTCCTAGAAGCCCTATGCCTGATAGATAGATGTCATGTCTCTTTGGCCATTGCTTTGTAAGAAGATGGCAGAGAGCTGTTGAATATTGGACAATCATGCAGCTGTTGGAAAATGCCCTGTGCGCTAGAGATAGCTCTACAAAGTTAATTGTTTATTACCTTTAAAAATGCATTTCTGTGCTGTATTAGACTTCTCTATATCCATATATTTCAAATAGTTTGTATTTGTCTTGATTTTTTTTTATGAGCCTGCCACAGAAGTTTGCAAGCTGCCTTGAATGCCATTCTGTAATATTTTCTTTTAGAAACAAATAGAATGGAGTGTAAACTTCCATTCCAACAGTAGATTTGAACTCTCTTCATTGTCAGCATAGGGTCTAGAAATGAGTTCATCACTGATGTTTTTCTGAAATCTTGTGTGTGTATATCTTGTGTGTGTGCTGCTATTCAGTTCTAAAAGGCATTAGTAACACTAGAAGATGCAAAGTAACAATAATTGTCTGCCGAGATCACCTCCAGTATCAAATTAGAACCTTAAGACAAGTATCTTAAATTGGGTATTTCACAAACAGGCTCTGTATGGATGCCCCTAAATTATACCAAATATAATACCAGGTTTGTGTTCCAGAAATTAACACACTAAATATATTTTGCATCATTGGTTTGTTCTTGTTCTGGTTTACTGCAGTATTTTTATTCCTCACTTGAGAATTGCATTATAAATTTAAATCCAGAGCCATCATTGAAAAAAACCTTATTTCTTAAATATACATTTTGTAAACAAGTAAGTTCAGTCATTTTATGAATTCATTATGGTTGCCATAATCCATCTCATTGTTTTCTACCATTGAAAGCCTTTAAAAAAACCTATGCATGCTATGTTATATTTGTATCAGTACATAAGCTTATGCTTGTTGGTTTCTTTTGTATAAAAGCAATTGACTTTTGACAGTATTTTGCACTTTCTCCGCTTTTCTTTGGTTTTTATAATTTTTTCTTCATATAATTGCAATATGTTTTTTACATCTTACACTGCTTTTTTGTAAATATTTGCAATGTAAGAAAATTTTGATTCAAGCTTTGTTTTGTAAAAGATTATGCTTAGCCTTATTATGCAATAAAACTTTTTTCAACTTTCTAATAATCAGTGTACTGATTTGAAAACATTGGCTGTGACTATTTTGTATATGCTGTTGAGTGGTGCAGTGGCCTAGAGATGGAGCTCTCACCTCACAAACAGGAGGCTATGAGTTCAATCCTAAATAGAGGCAGATACCGTATTTTCCGGCGTATAAGACGACTGGGCGTATAAGACGACCCCCAACTTTTCCTGTTAAAATATAGGGTTTGGGCTATACTCGCCATATAAGACTGCCCCTCTTCCAATGCACACCAAATAAAAATTAAAAAACATCAACTGGCTCACCTACAATGTAAAAGCAGCTGTGCTAGACCTAAAATGGCCCCTGTAACAAGCAGGAACCTCACACAGCCACAAAAAGCCCCCCCAAAAAACTTTCACACTCTAAACACACACAACACAACACAACTGGCTCACCCACAATGTAAAAGCAGCTGTGCTAGACCCAAAATGGCCCCTGCAACAAGCAGGAACCTCACACAGCCACAAAAAGTCCCAAAAACCAACTTTCACACTTTACACACACCAAATTCCACATACAGCTTTGTGAGATTTTGTGTGTTTGTGTAGTTGGAGTGAAACACTACAGAAACAAACTAAAGCTCAGAAAGCTGCACAAATATTATTTTATTTTATTTTATTTTTATATGAAAGCTAAATTTAAAACTTCCTAAACTTTAAATGGCTAGGTCTAAAAAAGAACAACTAAAAAAACCCCAATTGACTATTTTTTTTAAAGCTCCCAAAGGGGAAAAAAACTTACCCAATAGAACAGGGGTCTCCAACCTTGGCAACTTTAAGACTTGTAGACTTCAACTCCCAGAATTCCTCAGCCAGCTTTGCTTTGCTGGCTGAGGAATTCTGGGAGTTGAAGTCCACAACTCCCTCCTTGCTTGATTGCAGGCAGGGAGTTGCTTGCTTGCCTGAATAGATTCAGGCAAGCAAAGCAAGGCAAGCGTTGCGACTAGCAGCTGAGGTAAGCAAGCTGGAGGGGGAAAACTTTTTCCCTTTTACATGGCTCTGGCGATCCCAGCTGAGTTGCAGGGAACTCAGCTGGGATCGTCAGAGCTGGGATCCTCAGAGTAAAAGGGAAAAAACTTTTTTCCTTTTACGTGGTTTCTGGCGATCCCAGCTGAGTTGCAGGGAACTCAGCTGGGATTGTCAGAGCTGGGATCGTCAGAGCTGGGATCGCTAGAGCCATTTAAGGCTCGTTAGAGCTTTTCGGACTGGTCTGCCTGGTTACAGGAGAACGACACCCGGCGTATAAGACGACCCCCGACTTTTGAGAAGATTTTCATGTGTTAAAAAGTCGTCTTATACGCCAGAAAATACGGTATTTCTCTCTGGACACGATGAGAATATATCTGCTGAATATAACGCCACATTGGTGACAGGAAGAGCATCTGGCCAGTAAACACTCAGCTCTATTCAGTTGCCCAGACTCCACCCCACAAGAGATTATGGGGTCATTTAAAAGATGACATCAGATTTGGATTAATTTAGAATCAATTTACTCGATATAATTTATATTTAATTATGTCTCCTATTATTTTTATAAGCTAACTCAAGGTGGCAAAAATACCTAGTACTCTTCCCTCCTATTTTTCCCTACAACAACCACCCTGTGAAGTGAGGTGGCTGAGAGAGAGTGACAGGCCCAAAGCCACCTAGCTGGCTTTCCATGCATGATCTGTGCTGAATGAGAAAAGGCAGCTATTAAATTTGCCTAATTAAGTTTTAAAATAACTGAATGCCCTGCTCGTGTGAATGGAAAGAGGAAAGGTTGGAGAGACTTATTTGTTACATGTTCACATGCCTTCTCTAGACAACTAGCATAAGAAAAGCATCCAAAAATTTACTGAGTTTCAGCAAAGTAATAAATAACCACTTCAAAGAATACCAGTGTCAGTCACGTCCAAGAAGGTACTTTTTATTTTTTAACATATATACAAGCATACACAAATTACAAAATGAAAAGGCATATTGATTCATATACTATATTCAAAGATGAATTCGTATGCTGTTTCTAATCATTTTCAGAATTTAAAAATGAAGAGGGAATAAGTTAGCATTTTCCAAATAAGGAGGGGAAGGCACTATGGAAATGATACCATAGAATAACAATACAGGTATCTGCGGATGCTGCTGGTAGAGCGGGAAGATGCATAGCTTTCAAGAGAGAAAAAGAATTAGTAAGTGACAAGAATTATCTTGTTTCAGATCCAGGAAGATAGGAGGACTTTCACACTTTGATTCATCAAAAATACTAACACACTATTGGCACTAGATACTTTCCACTCTTCTGGTCTCACAATTTTTTAAAAAGGAAAATGTTCCAAATTATTTAGGCACTTTTAGACATGTAGAAATAATATCAATTATGTCCTTTGTGGGTGTTAATCCATTAGTTAAAAGATACAGTCCTTGAGTCAGGCTTGACTTCTTGCTACTGACAACAATGCAGGTTTCTAGCAACAACATAGAAATTCTTTTAGATAATGCAAAGTGTTCCAAAACAATTTTTTGGACTTCCCAGTGTGGTTGTCAGTCTTGGGACTTCCTGGTCATCTCCCATGTAAAAATAATCTGGGTCTGAACCTGCTTAACTTTTTGAAGCTCAGTCAGAGTCAATTAAGGTCCCGTGATAATTTCTGTCGCTCAAACAAGCCACTGTGTAACTAGGCAATCAGCAGAAAAAGTTCCATTTCAGACTAGGATTGTTCATTGTCTTGGCAGTTTTAGTTTCAATGCTGCCCATCCCACTTGCTGCAATGAGGTTTGAGAAACGCTTTGCATCTGTTGTTGAAACATAACGTTACCCAACAATCAGCATTTGTTTAAAGTGGTGCTGTTAAGAAAGCATCGAGTATGAAGAAATAGCCCATCTGTTTGGAAATTACAATTCATTCAAGTCTGGAGACGGGAGAGAATATTTGTAGCTCGGGTTGTAGATTTAGGCAGGTTTGTCCTCCGAGCTTGCTACTTGCCTCCCAGATGTTTCGTTACCAAACTAGGTAACATCTTCAGCAAAGATGGGTACAAAGATCAAAGACAACACGGAAGGAAGACAGTACCAACATAATATACAGAATCAGTTGCAACAATTGTAACCAGTTCTACTCAGGCAGACAGGACAAAGGTTAAAAACCAGAATCCATGAACACCAGCTGGCTGTCAAACGGCATAACTCGAAGTCCCTGACTGACAGTCAAACCAACAACAAACACTGTTTCAACTGGGATGAAGCCAAAGTCATCGGCCACACCAAAACCTGTTAGGCATGCGAGTTTATCGAAGCCTGGCATTCTGCCATGGGTCCATCAACAAACACATTGACATAGAACCAACGTACAAACCAATAAGGAAGCAGACCATCCAAACCATCAATCAACCACAGAACCAATCACCCCCCCCCCGACTATTGAATTTCACGCCTCCCAGCAAACAACCAGAAGTCATAAGACCAGAATCAGTCTTGTGATTCAACCAATCTTGTGATCCAATCTGTCTTGTAACTCAATCAGTCCGACCACCCAGAACCTATATAACAAACAAGACACTTTGCCCCAAAACCTCGCTGAAGATGTTACCTAGTTGGTAATGAAATGTCCAGGAGCCAAGCAGCAAGCTCAGAGGACAAACCTGCCTAAATCATTCAAGTTTCTTTCTAATAAAACATATACTATAGAATTACTCTGAATGTACTTTTAGTGTTTAACCAATCAGCTTTATATTTGAATTTTTAAGAGAATACATTGCCTTTAATTGGAAGAGGCAAAATTAAGCTGAATAAAGTCCATCATGTGTAGCTTTCCCATGCAGTATCAAAATACTGAATACTGCTATTCATGTCAGAAAAAGATATTTCTTAAGTTTTAACTTCTATATAAACAATCTGCACTGATTTCTATTTGGTATCTGTATGGCCAAATGAGCAGAAGGCACTTGGCAAATGTATGCTTCTAAAAATATACATAGGTGAGTATCAGCTAAATGTTTTTCAAAAACCACAAATACAGTAAAGGTATTTCCAGATGGGAAAAATACTATCTATTAAGGAACAGGAATATATAATTGACAAGTCTCCATTTTTTCCATATTAAATCAGGCATGTTAAGTTATACAGCCATTCACAATGCTTAGAAAATATATGTTCACAATCCCTAAATGTATTATTAGCACAAATTTGAGTAAGCATAATAAATATAATTAGAGACAAAATATATGCAACATCAACGATCAAGTTGTATATGTAATAGTCTTGAACTTGAACTTTTGAGGTGCAAGGTGTGTAATTATATTTAAAAGTTACAAAAAATGGTACCCAGAATGTTTTTATACACCTATATCACAATAACGAGGCAAACAAGCAAGTCAGGTCAAGCAGTGTTGTCCAAATTTAATTAGTCATTTTGCATAAGATACAATACATTAAACTCAATTGAGAAAAGAACTGGTCATTTTTGCACATGATCAATCAAAGGCATTAGCTGTGTGAAACCATGGCATTTTCTTAGGGAGGAAAAGGCATTCAGAATTAATTTATCAAGGCTCAAGATATTTCACATAGACCTCAGAGAATGGAAGAGGCAAGGCCCAAATGCACCACATGTTTGTCATTCCAATTATTTTACAGAAAAGCTTTCATTCCGCGTCAATTTTCAAAGCACTCCTGAAGTTTCCATAGCAAGGCTTTTAAAGAAAGGTTGAAGGATTACATAGATTCAAAGACTCAGTGGGTCTCTAATTCCTTTTTGATCTCTATAACGTATGGATGATCTTTCCCATGCGCTATCTCCATGATAGCGATTGCCTGCAAAAGGGGGAAAAAATACAATTGATTCAGACAGCCTTGGTTTATGAAATATGCTCGTCAGGGATTCCAAAGAGTCAGAAACCTCTGGCTGGTTTTTGTCCTCTTAAATGTACCCCATTGAAAACAGCCCATTTGATTGCAAGTATCAAACCGTATTCTATACACAGTACCTTTGATCCTGAGAGAT